GGGTTATTATTTATAGGTATTTAATATATATCCCAGCTTCCTGCACTGGAAGCATAGTTTTTCTTTTTATTACTATTCTCTTTCCTTATTAGAAAGTGCCATCTATTAAATTATATCTAACTCCATTAGTTATGGTCTATAAGAATCCATATATCCTTAGCTCTGTGGCTGAGCCGGCCTCCTATCATTTAGTTAATAGTTTGTGGTATGCCTATTACTAAAGCTATTCTAATTACTTCAGTCCTTTCTGCGCATGTAGAAGTCTTGTAGTTTATTATTAATCTTAACTGCCTGTATAATCATCTTACTAAGCTTATCCAGTCACTCCATCCAGATTAACTTTTTCTAGATTTCTGGTTTTAAGCCTTCTTCAAATTGTGTGATATTCATGTCCTTGTCCTAGCTTAAATAAGATATAATCTATTAAAATTTTAATGTGTATTCCCTAACAGATCCTGTCTGCTTAAGTTACTATAGCTATTATTTAGTATTTCTTTCTTTATTAATATCTCTGAAAGTGTCTTCTAATTATTTTTTAAAAGCATCATAGCTGGTGAATATTTTATTAGTCTCAGGAGCTTAATTATCCTCTTTATATTCCTGGTAATCCCTGATGAATGGTTTAAACTAATTAAATGCTGGTCTGGTTAGGTAGGTTGCTGTGAGCAAGACCCTTTCTACTTTGGTGATGAGTCTCTCTCTATTTATATAGATATATATATCTAGTTATATAAGAAATACTTGTAGCCTGGACCTGTTCCTATTAAATGGTTTAGGTAGTCTAACTTTAATAGACTTAGCTATAAGTTAACCTTCTAGTTGTTGGATATATTCCTAAAGTTACTTAACCATACCTCTTAGTTCTTCTGTTAAAGAAGGTGGCTGTTGCTGTTGCATAGCAGGTACCTAGCTAATATTTAAGCTAGCAGGGGTTCGTGGTGTATTATTTACTATAATATTTAATATTAAGAGTTAATTAAACTTCCTAAAGTGATTTATACTGTATGGTGTTTAATTTATTATACCCTAGGATCTATCTCTGCTGTTCTCTGCTAGTTAACTACTTTAGGAATAGGATTGCTATAGCCCCTAGACTTATAGCATATACTTGCCTAAGGCCTACTGACTAGGTAGCCTAATAATATAATGATATAATGACCTCCTGGGGTTAAGGATAATCTAAAGGTAAGGTAAGAATAATAATAGTAAAGATAGAAGCAGGGTCTATTAAGTATATATACTTAATAGTAGAGAGTAACTGATGAATTAGACTAGTAATCTTATACTTAAGTAAATGATTTGTATTAAACATAAGGAACTAAAACTAAGAGTATTAGATATAATAGTAATAAGTATCCTTATATAGTTCCTGCTATTATAACTCTGTTTATAACTCCCATTACTACTCCTAGAGTATCCCTAGAGTAGATTATAGAGTAGATTTAATACTCCTTATCTTGGTATCTGCCCATTTCCTAGGGTAGTAGTCATGTAAGAGGCTGGAATCAGCCTGCTGGTTGCTATTGTATGGAATACCTGATAACTATATAGTAGAGTATAACTAGACAGTATTTCTGTGGGATCCCTGTCTGGATTAAGTATTTTCCTGGATCACTCAGTGATTGTCTCATGGTTGATTGGTGAGCGATGCTCCCTATATTCTGCCTGCCTCACCCGCCCTGCGCTAGTGCGGCTGTGTTGGTGTCGTAACAGCTAACTATAGATAGGGTAGTCTACTAGAGGTTTACTCCCTAGATTAGCTATTACTGCTCTCTAGTACTTTACTAATAGGTTATAGAATAGATAGCTTAGTTAGGGCTAGGATAGGCTACATTATCTAGGATAGAGATAGGATAATAATAGTAGAGGTGGGCTGTATAGGCAGGGGGTTCTATAGCTATATACTAGGGACCCCTATAATCTAGTAGTAGTAGTAGTAACTATTTATAAACCACTATTAGATACTGACCTGCTAGGGCAGGGGTAGGTAGATTTAGGGATAGTCCTAGTAATAGTACTTCTAGACCTGCTAGGTACTACTACTAAGGTAGGTCCTATATATAATATAGCACTAGATATAGTGGATAAGGAGCTAGGGGATTAGTTTACTATTAGAAGGCAGGGGTAGAAAGTCTATATAGTCCTGCCAGGGCTATACACCCCTAGGTAGTATATAGAGCTATAGATAATAGTTCTAGACTACTAGCTAGTAGACCTCCTAGAGATATCACTATACTAGGCAGCCTAGGACTACTATCTTATATATCTAGCAGATAATAGTATTATAGTTACAGAGGTAGTTATACAGGGGTGGTATAGTTATAATAGATAGGGGGTTATCTAATAGTAGTAGTAGTATAGCTATATATTAAAGAGTAGAGTAGTAATAATATAGTAGGAGTAGAAAGGGAGGATAGATATATTAAGGGTAAAGCTAGCCTAGCTAGTAACTTTAAAGGTATATCTAGGCTATATATATCCCCCCTTTTTCTTCTTCCTTTTAGGGCGGCAGTCCAGGCAGCTAGGAAGAGGAAGTATTACTTTTTCCCCCTTTTCCTAGCCCTAATTATATCCTATTTTATTAGGGGATCTAGTAGGATCTATTAGTATTAGGTCCTCTAGTCTATAGCCCTGGTCAGCCCTATTAAGGGTCCTTAGGTGTGGCTAGGCCTGGCTTAGATTATAGGCTATATAGACTAGTTAATTTACTATAGACTCTCTAGATCCTAAAGTAGTCTAGGGCCTAGGACTTTAGTATAATCTAGATTAATAATTATATCTATTAATTAATTACTACTGCTAATGGGCTAGGGGTACCTATAGTACTATATATAGATTAGCTTATACTATTACTAGCTACTATTATTATAGAGGTCTAGTACAGTGACTAGTCTAGGTTCTTACTAGCTATAGCTACTAGTAATAGCTAGAGTAGGACATCACTAGTAGCTGCTATAGGTCTAGTAGATCCTATACTTACTATATTAGGCCCTGGGGGTGGGATCCCTATAAGAACTATCTAATAGGAATACTAGTAGTAGGGTTAGCTATATATAGTCTAGGAGAGAGATTCCAGCAGATGCTGGGTGGTTAGGGATAATAGAGGTAGCTAGATTACTAGGCTAAATTATAGATTTTAGCTACTGGGGTAAGGGGACTACTAGTATATAGGCCCTAATAAGGTAGGATATAGAGATATATATTACTATAGTAGTAGTATATCTATATAGTAGGATCCTATACTCTAGCAGGTACTAAGTTTAGAGCAGATAATCAAGCAGGAATAGGACTAGGGAGGGGTTGATCAGGTAATCTAGATGGCCTAGATACTACTACTAGTAATATAATATAGCCTTAGTAGGGAGCAGTGCCCCTAGCAAAACTAGTTAGCAGAGCTAATCCTAATAGGTATATACTAGTTATACAGTCCCCCTAGGGGACCTGGAATCTATAACTAGCATAGTTAGATACACTGCAAGAAGATAAATAGAATAATACCTAGATCATCCCTCCCAGACCACAGGGGTGGGGAGCCGGGCCTAATGTAGTTGCTGGACTGGGGGGTCCTGGATCCCATAGGAAAGGGCCTGGCGGGGTGTGACAGAGCTCGCACGTAGGTCAGTATTACCCTATAAGTGATGTCTGGATTATTCCCTTAGGGATCAGCACTGAGGCCACTAGTAGCAGCTTATCTTTTTAGGTATTTTGAAATTAATTTCAATTATTTTAAAGTGAGCTCAAGAGTTCCGGTCCAGATATTGGGAAAGTACGAATGTTTATTAACCTTTGGTATGGGCTTTCCCTATACCTCTTATATAAATGCAGAGCCTACTGTAGTTGTTGAATTTGTATAATAGGGTTTAGTATTTATTTGTTGCTGTAACCTGTATTCTGTGTTTGCTATAAGCAAGATAATTATGTGCCTCTAATATTCCCTAATAGGAATTATTACTACAGCCTACTATAGTTGTTAGGTAAATCTTTGAGATTAGAATAAGAGTAGCTTTGCTTAGTGTATTATCTGTAAAAGCAAAGTGAAGCGGCTGTGTAGTCTTGAAAAATGGTCTATTGCGACTTACTAGTACTCTCTATGTTGATTATCCTAAATTTAGGCGATCATTAGCTCCCGTGCTATGGTCATGATGAGACTTATTTTGGAGTAGATCTACCTTCTAGGCTTCCCTTTGGATTGCACTTAGCTTAATAATTCTCCCAGGCAGTACTTGAGGCATCTAAGCGCTTGCAGTGTATACTTAAGGACTTACTTTTTTCGCTTTTAAAGGGAGATAAAGGAATCCGCGTTGTTGATCTTGCGACTAGTTGATTATGTTGTGTCACTGAGACTCCCAACGCCAGATCACCTAAATGGGTATCAAGAAGTAATCAGCTACTAGGATTATCCTACTAAAGGAGTAGTATAGCCTTAGTAGAGAGTAGTATACCTAGTAAAACCTATTAGATAAGCTAATCCTAATAAGTATATACCAATTTTACTATTATTCTAAGGGATCTAGTTACTATAACTAGCATAGTTAGGTATAGCATGGTTAGATAAATAGAATAATACCTAGATTATCCCTCCTAGATAGCCAGGGACTTAGTGCAGGCCTGATATATTTACTAGACTAGGGGGTGGCAGCACCTATACCAGGAGGCCCAGCAGGGTCTGACGGAGCCTTCTCGTAGGCTAAGTGCAATAGGCTCTGCTACCTAGGGTTGAGTGATTGGCAGAGCTTTACTGGCCAAATACGGAGGCATGGGTCCTCACTATGCAAATGAACAGAAGAAATGGTGACTTTAGAGGGTGGAACCAGTGTCTATATTCAATCAATCGGAATTTACGGGAATTGAATTGATCGAGGGCGGTTGAATTAGATTTTGGGGTTAGGTAGGGTGACAGGTGGACATTAGTTAATATATGGATAAGACAGCATTTTAAACTTAATAATACAGTGGCTGGTAAGTGCAATGCGGCAGATTTTCGAAATGTACCTTCGTACTCAAGGCTGAAACAACTCCTCATCGTAATCTTCAAAAAGCAGCGGCATCTTCTTCCGAAAGTCCTGTGTTTCTACCTTGTCCTGTGTTTCAGTACACAGGGTCTTGGGCCAGTACCAGAAACCTCGTGAGGCAAGCAGTCTATCAATATACTCGTCGAATGAGTATCGTGTCTTGTAGAGCTCTTCCCCACAATAGTGAAAAGCAACGTGTTCGCTAGGCTGGCCCCACGAGTTGTCGCTGCCACCACGGCATGGAGGTGGCTGGAGGAATGCAACGCATGCCTCCGGCACAAACATGTCAAATGGTTTCACAGAGCGGAATTGTTGACGCTCAGCAATTTCATCATCGTCGTCGCTCCCCCCCTCCCTTTCTGCCCACCATATGATTCCTTCCCACTCGTCAAACACCTCCTTTATAGGTAGAATCCTAATAAAACCCTGATCGCTCATGTTCCCTGTCGCGATCTCCTGCACCGTGTGACGCCATTCCAGCCTCACCCAGCCCAAGGCACGATAAAAGGTCTCCACGCCCGTGGGTAGTTGGCCCTTTGTGCGTTGTAGGACGGCCTGGATTTCCTCCTCGCTTGTGGGTGGGCCGATTTCAGCATCAAGCACTTCGATATGTGGTGTTTGGCGCAGGGTGATGAAGAGGCGCTCAAAGCGGGTGCGGATATCAGTCATCGTGTGGATGCTTGAATCACAAATATAAAAATTTCCCTAGTGTTATAGAGAGAACTCGGTAGGGAGAGCAATCAATCTGCTGCAGTAATAACCAGACACCAACATAAGAAAGACGAGAGAATCCAGCCCTAATGCTGTTGAGAACGTGACCTCTAGAGGAGCAGGGTGGAAAGTGTACCTTGCTCAAATACGTTGAAGACCAGACGAAAGACTCGCAAAATAAAACTGGGTTGGAGGTTGAGGCCGAAAAAATTTTCAATACGACGCTGAATCCTCGTGATATTTCTCGTAGTCCCGTTCGCTGTTGATCTCTGCCCGTTCCTCGTGTCCTGGTGCTATCTCATTGGTGGGGGACCCAGAATGGCAACGGTGCGGGCCTAAGCCTCCGGCCAAGCACGCGCTGGTGGTGACTACAGGTGACACCACCTTTTGCAAGAGTTTAAGAATATAGCTGAGCCGAAGTAGTGAATAAGACAACCCCTGATTATATGATATATCTCCACTATAAAGGTTAACTAAGCTTAATACTATAACTTACCTCCTATATACCTCTATCTTTAAGCCTAGGTATCCCACCTGTAGAAGTATTTATAGACATTAAACTAGAACTATAGATTAATATCCTATAGGTAGAGTTGCATAACCGAACCGCTAAAATCGAATCCAACCCTCACCGAACTCGCAGCGGTGAGGGTTCGGTTCCTAGCCTAGGGAATCGCTTCGGTTTCGGTTTAGGTAGGGTGAAACTAATTTGAGTTCGGTTAAAACTGTTGATTTTAATTTTTGAGGATTTATTGGATTTGACTAACCAACCCTCACCATTTTGGATAGAAATCACTAATTTCTAAGATTTCTCTAGAAATATTAATATCACTAGATAGCCTAGTATCTAGTCTATCCAAATACGAAATATCAATTCAAAATATCTAGTGGTTGGTGAGATATAAGGGAATAATCATTTTTGTCATGGGTTGGTATAAATATAGTATAGATATATATATATGTGCAACCAATGGTTGATAACTACTATTATTTTTTAACCACCACCCATTCAACCCTATAGATATTGAATCGATATTTTAGATCTAGATTAGTATAATGATAATTACTATATATTTCATATATAAATATCAATTTCTATAGGCATGGTAGTAGTATAATGGATAGTATAGTATATAATAATCATTTAAAATTTCCAAACAGTTAACTTTTACTAAGAGGTAGCAGTTTATCCAACCCAAAATCAAACCAAATCTAACCATGGTTAGTTAGTAGGGATCTATCTAGGCCTATCTAGGCCTAGTAGCAGGTTTTTGCGGTTAAACTCGAACCAAATTGGAACAGATCAGGTTTAGTTCTGATTTCTAAGATTTGGACTCGAAATTGCAGCGGTTCGGTTCCAACCCTAGTTGGACTCACCTGAACTCAGACCAAATGCAACTCTACCTATAGGCTATTAATAACCTTAATTTAAATACTATTGAATATGTACAAGACCTCTAGATTATAAGAGAATTTCTATCTAATTAATTAGAAGCAGTAAAAGAAGCAGTAAAGTAGTACTATAATTAGAATTGTCTAGATATAACTAGAGTTGTATTTAGTGCAAGTTCAGGTAAGTTCAAGCCTAGTTAGCACCAAACTGCTGCAATTTCAGGTTCAAATTTTAGAACCCAGGGATAACCTGGATCTGACCTAGGTTGGTAGTAGTTCACCGCAAAAACCCACTGCTGGGCCCTGCAGTTTGCCTCACTGACTACAAGGTGCAGGGCTCCGCGCTTGACTCGGCGATCTTGGATCTTAAAAATGACCGCCTGGTCGAGACCGCCACCGAAAATTCTGCTTGATCTACGTACAATTATCCAGATTATGAACGCGCAAAGGACTCCATATTCTGCAAGCAATCGAAATGAAGGACCTCCTGTTCGGACCCTATCCCTGGTTTCTTGCAGAAATGCATAGACAGTGATAGACTTGAAGAGCTCCAAGAAGTGACTTTAGAGGCATGGAAGCATTTAATTAAGAATTTCATTTTTGTCGATAATAGAAACCGGCGACTTCAACATTCTCTCTGAAAGCACTGATTCTCCCATAGAATACCATAATATTTATAATATGTCCTTTTCAAATAATTCAGACTTTAGCAATGGAAACACTGCAGAGACTTGACGAGAAAGTACTCGCCGCCTGAGATGTATTTCGCCACCAGCATCCGACGTCTCTGGCCCAATATCAAAAAGCCCAATATTCTTCCATAAGCCGGTTTTATCACTCCTTGTAAATATCTTTGCACATGTGTGTCTATCTGAAGGGTAAAGGAAATATTCTCTGGACTAATAATTCTGCACCATCTACCTGCTCCCTTTCATCTAATGAATTATTCACCGCCACGTCTTACATACATGAAGCCTCCCAAAAACCTTACATCTTCCACTACGTTTCCTTTATTAAACTAGCGGTGAGATCACTTTAGGACATGTCATATTCAAGTTTGTACTCACTACAGGAATCTCATTCTATAGTTTAGCATGCCTGTGAAACAATAGCCTCTCTTGCATACTTCTCCTCTAGMCATACAGATGCTCTAAAACCCCTACTAGAATGGAGAAAACTTTAACTACTCCATCTTTCCGGATCTACTCTCTGCCACTAACATGATGCCGTCAAATACAACTTGACCGGCTATTATTCATACTCGCGACTTCATTGACCATGTTGAACCAGACCCTACATGCCCCAGTAAAGGGCTTTCTATGCAACTCTGTATTTGACTCAACATACCGTGCAAAGACATTCAATCAGACGATGTTGAACAGGATGAAATTCCCAGCCTGGTCAGGTTTTTTAATGAGGCCAATCAGTCTGACCTTTACAAGCCAAACACTGTTGTCTACTCCTCAGGTCCTTTCCTGACAACCTCGTCCGACGACGACAAATTTTATATTGTCATCGACGCTCACAACTTAGACCAGTCAGTTTGTCCTATCTGCCATACATTAAAGCTTACACATTCTAATCATCCGGGCAATGAAGACGATACCGAATCCTATTTTCTGCACTGTCCCGGAGCTGCCCAGCCAATAGTTACGTTCCTTGGTATTGTTCTTGAACGCGGTTGTCAACTGAATGACGGATCAACGCTCCTTCACTACCATCTCCAGACTATTGTCTACGATACTTCACCCCGAACCCAACACCCCTTTCCCATCACTGCGTACTTCAAAAACAGTCAGCGTTGGGCGAACTTTCCACCACTGAACATAAGCACCCATGTTTTCTTCACAGGTCGCATTTTTGGCCTCACAAAGAACATCGCCAATTAGCTGTTGTTACTGATCATATACATTTTCTCCCAACACCAAATCACCATTTCCCCGCTACCCCTTCCTCGACTTGGTCTTATTTATCGTTACTTTTTACCTTGATTATAAAAACCAGGAACATCCTCGAACAATAATTCCCAATCACAGCATCGGTGCTAGCATAGCTATTTCTAAAGGCCTGCCATGGCAAAGCTTATTGATAATTTAATTAAGGTACCACTGTCATATATATCACGTACCAGTCTAAAAGACCTGTAAGTCCATGTGGTCCTACTGTATAACCAACGAATCACCCACTCGGAATACCACAACATGCCGTTCAGCGAAGAGGCCGAACGCAAGTCTTTCGTTCCGATTTTATCAACACTGGTGGCGGGTCCTGAGGCCACCGCCGCACAGGAGGAATCAGCCACTCCGAAGACCTCAGCCACAATTCCCATCCATGCGGACTTTGCCATGGGTGGGAGGATTATCGCGCCTGAGTCGACGTTCAGTTGGAGCGTTGGTGCGGAAGACGTTGTCAGTAGCCGGAAGAAGCGAAATGTCTATGTGCACCTGCCGATAACGACGAATGGAAAGGCCAAGATCCATCTGGATGAGCGTGAAGATGCAGAGCTTAGTGAGGGCGATGGGGCTTTTATTTCAGGGGTGAATACGGCGCGATGTGTTGAACGTGGAGAGTATTAGAGAGGATGAGGCTGAGGTTATTGTCCTGGATAGTACATAGAAGGTATCTATCACACTTCAATGAAAGAATCTTGTACAATTAGAACCATCTTGGCCACATTTCAAGAATCTATTAACGTCATATAAATAGCAAACTTCATGCATTGTGCCATACAGGATGCCCGATATACTATTACTACTCAAATATACCCCATCTTAATCACCCACCCATCGATCGTAACACAGTGTCCCCTTTGAGATCGATCTAACGACGAGCAGCGTCGGCCTTGATGAAATCCGCTGCCCGTTCGGCCACAGCGTATAGGGTGCTCACTAAATGGCCGCAGACTTGGAATGGAAGCACCGAGGCATCTACAACTCTGACATTCGTAGTGCCGTACACACCCAGGCGCTCGTCCACGACACCGCCAATTTCACGAGGCATCATGGCAGCAGTGCCAACGGGATGGAAGTTAGAACGATCTAGGCTGTTTGTTAGGATTTGTACTCGCATACTATTGCGGAAATGCATCGAAAACTTACAGTTGTTATCAAAGACCCATTCTTTCCAGCTCTGCTCGGAAGCGTTCCGAGGAAGGACACTATAGCCTGGGGTGGACTCCTTGACGATGCTGCTGAGAGGGTAGCTCTCGAACGCGCGGCGAATATACTTTGCAACGGCGACGTGGCTTTTCGCGTCCCAGTCGAGCATGAAGTAATTGGGGTTGATGATAGGGAATCGGAGCGGGTCTGAGGAACCAATGTGGACACTTCCACGAGCGAAGGGAAGAAGGGTCCAGAACTCCGCAGACACTGACTTCGCGCTTCCCGGGTAGTTCAGGACTTCTGCGATTGGAACCCTGCCCTTGAAAATAAGATCATACTGGACCTCGAAGAGACGCTCAAGATCGGAAGCCTTCATAACGTTTCCGTTGGCCTTGGCTGTGTCGGCTGCGTATTGCTTCAGGCTGGCACGGATTTGTTTGGCAACGGACTCGGCTTTGTCACCGAAGACATCATAGACATCGGGGTAGGAAACTGTTTTGCTTCCGGAGATGGAACTGTTGCTCGAAGCATCCATATGGCTGTTCACCTGGTCCTGAAGGTTCTCACCGACAGTAGGAAGGCCAACTTGAACGGGGATGTTGAACTTTCCAAGAATGCTAGGGTTGCCAATTCCGGAAAGTTCAAGGATAGCCGGGGTCTTCAAGGCACCGGCAGAGACAATGACTTCCTTCTGGACGTTAATAACGCTGACGGTACCGTTTCTGGACGTGATTTCAACACCACTGGCAGTGACGTGCCCATCATGGGCTTCGCTCTCCCACATAATCCGGTTGGCAAAAGTGTTGAGCAGGACGTGCAAGTTAGGTCGGGACCGGTAGGGCCAGTAGTACGCACGAGCGGCATCTTCGCGAACATACTCATCAAGATTCACAGTGGAGGGGAACATGTTGAAGCCGCGCATCTTTCCGCCATTGACATCCTCAGTCCATGGAAGTCCCATGCCCTGGAAGGTACGGTTGAGATAGGTGGTTAGGGTGTTGGACTGGATGTTCGTGAAGGCAACGTCAAGGGGACCGTCCTGGCCGTGGGATCCAGGGTGATACGACGCTCCAAGAGAGGCCTGAGATCTGGTTGGGATGGTGAAGTTCTCGCTCTTGCGATAGTAGGGGAACAATTTCTTCCACGTCCATCCGGTGTTCCCAATGGCTTCCCAGGAGTCAATCTGAATGTCCTGAGCCCGCGTATAAGCCATGCCTGTGGATAAGAGACATTCCGTTAGTTACGTCAGGTGAACACACGGACTGTTATACAAACCATTGATAGTGCTCGTTCCACCAAGAGCCTTCCCGGCACGAAGCACCTGACTCAGGTTTCCTCCGTATGGCTGATTGACGGACTGGTATTGCCAGTCAATGTCTGTCCCAAATGCAAGCCCGTAACCATCCACGTTTGTGACATTGGCATTGTTCCTGACCGAGCCACCGGCCTCAAGAACGAGCACGTTCACGCTGGGATCCACTGATAGACGATTTGCGACAGCCAGACCACTAGTACCACCTCCAATGACGATATAATCATACTTTGGAGACGTGGAGTTGGATAACGGTGCCGCCACTGCAAGGGACAGGGCGCTGAGGAATGAGAATTTTCCCAACATGGTTTGTATAGGTGATGAAATTGAAGTAACCCCTAAATTCTGATAGAACTGTGTGGAAAAAGGCCTTCATATGTACTTCCCGGTCGGTCTATACCCTGCGACAGCGTAGGGGTCAGTTGCATAATCGTTTGTCAGCGGATCCGTCATTTAAGAAGGGATCCCTGTCCCACAGCAGTGGCTGGAAACGCATCCTAAATTTAAATTACCTCCAAGGTCCAACTAGATGACCGCTTGTCACCCGCTGCCTGCATTCCCCTGTTGTCGCTGCTGACTTCGTGCGTAAAGCACCATGTGGTGACATATGTCCGTATATGGTATGTAGTACCACCCTTCTCTCTAAGATATTGCCAAAATTCTGCATCTAGATTCCCTACAGAGCCGTATCAACATGAGACTGTACTAGACGGGAGAAGTTTCCACACCCGCGGATTCACCGGGAAAAGGTCCACTTCTGCCTTCAGATGGACTCTCGGCATGCCGATCAGCGCTTTCATCCGTAGATTGTCCGGAATCTGGCCGTGATTACATAAATCTTACTCAATGCACGATCGGATTTATTCAGCAATAGTGAGACCAGTAAGCAGAAATGCTCCAATTATTTCCCGCGTGCTCTGGCTGTGAAGCATACCGGGTCTGCCAGATGTTTCAGCGGACACTCTTCTCGGACCGGCCGACCAGTGGGACAATGCTGATCGCACAGAGAGTTTCGCCAACGATTTTGTCAGTTTCACTATTTCCGGGATGGAGTAATGAAGATCATCCATAGATCCCAATTTTCAAACATTGATTGATTAGATCAACAGAGCAGCGCCGACGAGATAAGGTATTGAATACAAGGAACTAGGTGTAATTTGACGTCCTTTAGAATTCAGGAATGTTTCGACAAGTTTTGTCACGGTGGGGAAGGTGGGTGTCATCGTCTGACTGCAGCAGCTGAGTCTTGCCGTCGAAACTTTCTCCGTATGATATTCAAAGATCTTTTATCTGGCTGGGACGTTGGGCTCCTAAGGCCCATGACAACTGTTACACCATCTAGGGTTGTCTGCGCAATGGGAACTTATATAGTGCGTTGTAAGGTGTCGGCGGGTTCTCGGATGAAATTTCCATTAGTCCCCAAGTACAGTGTTGAATTGCTAACACGGGATGTCCTGCTTCGATGGGAGAGAAGGCCAAGTTTGAGGGCGTAACTTGCTCTCCTTTCGCACCGCATCGTCACTTATGGAGTCAATTTCTCCAAATAACCTGTATCACATCGGTCACTCACAACACCTGTCATGAGCATGGGACTGGCGGTCGTGAATGCTTCGTTCCTCTCAAACGCCAGTGCTCTGACTGGGCCCGATTATATAAGCGATCCCCAAGACAACTCACCAAATATTTGGGTTCTTTCTCGATGAGTACGGGGGGAGGAAACTTCAACATTCCCTTAATAGAAACAAGTAATTCTCGCAGATTGACATTTTTGAAGGTCAGCGATTATGATGCTATAACGTGCATCTGTCATATTGGCCTGGGCTGTGAGCACCAACAGGCGCAATGGATGAGAACGTCCAGGTCTGGCGCAATGTTTTCTATCCGCCAGGGGTGGCGAGAGACTTTTAGTGTAGGGCTGGCTGCCAGGCAAGAGCGCATTATCCCCTTGCTCATTCAAGAATGCTTTCCTAGTGTCTTTGCTTCTCTTTTCTCTTTATATAGAAGGATTATACTTCCTAGGATAGTGTTATAATATGTATATTATGGCAAATGATAAATAGTGAGCCATATACTTATTTATGGCTGTGATGGACTAAACTACTACCTTATAGCCCTTAGCTTATTATTTAACTCCATCTACTATTACTAGAGAACTTGCTTTAATAGCTACACTCACTTACTTAAATATATTCTGTGAAAGCTATAAGGCCAGAAAATTTACCCTAATGCCCTTACTTTTCATTAGGATGAGGATATTAATATAGAATATCCACTGCCTGTGCTCTAGAAGGATAGAAACCCTAACAGAGAGGCTAATATAATAGACTCTAGAGTGCACTCTTATATTCTATATCTGTAGATCTAGGCTGGCATCCTGCCTGAATAGTGATATTAAATAAACATTCTTATATAATCTAACGCCTCCTCTACCTGTGGAATATTACTAAATAATATTATATTTAAGTAATAGAGTATATTCTTTAGCATATACTCCCTAATAGCTAATTTAGTGGATATATTCTGGGTATAAGCTTTAGTAATTCTATATTATTAGATACCTTTGCCTACCTTGCATTATATATACCCTGCTTAGTTTATATTTATCCTAGTTATAGTAAGCTGCTACTAGTTAAGGCTACTATACCTTGGTATTTATTATAGCTACTAAAAAATCTTTTAAGACTAACTATATGTAAATCTCACAGTAGATACTATAGCTAAAAGTATAACTAAGGTATAGCTTATCTCTACTACTTACTACTAAGTGCATTAGGTTATTACCTTTAGTAAGTTTAATAAATATATTAATATAAATCTTTCTAGAAATACACTCTATTATACATGGCATTACCTTAAAGGAGTCTTAAATACTATTAAGTTCTATATTAATAACTATTGTCTACTAATTAATTAACTAAAAGGAGATATATAGCTTCTAGATTATCTTATAGAGTGATAGGAACTCTGCTGCTACATAGAGTAGGTATAAGTAATAATCTTATAAGCTTAGTTCTATTCTAACCGCCATAGATACAGGGTAACCTGATGGTATACTGAGCTCAGCTGTATTGAGAATCTCTCTATAGATAGAGTTTTACTTGGCGAATTATTGGATGAGCTAGTTGACAGACAGGCTGACGCTCTAATTGCTTCTTGATGCATATAGGTCAAACCTGATAAATTTGTAAACTCCCCTTCCATCTAATATTATTTGGCTACGGCAAAGCCTGTGGTTCTAAGCTTGTTACAGTACTTACTCTTAATAAGTTAATAATGCCAAGTTCCCACTCGCTCAATCCTGATGCAAAAGCCATAGGATAGAATAGGTAAAGGAAATTGCGTCGTTGAATAAGTCAAACTGTCGGTTAGAAGCCAAAGTCGCCTTTTGTTGCGCTGTTGTAGGTCTTCCCGCATCCGCTGCAAGTACTTCTGAGGATCACCATAAATGGGAACACACAAGCACGCAGAAATATTGTTGTATTGTTTCCTAGCCGTCCGCAAGGCGCAGTCATAGTTATAGTCCTTCTGTAGGGACGCCTTTTTACGCCTTACTCCGGCGACTTTCACGCCCATTGGCACGACACTTGTGCGTTTTCCAAGTAGCTCCTTCGCTGTTGCTGCGATGGACCCTTCACCTGTGTGTTCTAGATAGCTTCTGCCTGTGTCAAGTTGCTCTGATGGCCCCTTCATTTGCGTAGAAACAATTCGAATTACTGGCCCAGTTCCCGTACTTGTCTCATTCCTGGCATGTTCCTCAGTTACTTGTAGGCGAGGAGGGATACTGCTGGTGTTCTCAGCTGTACCCTTAAAATTTGAATTGCCACACTAAACTAGCCTAGGATAAAGCGGCTCCTCTTCATTCTCATCGAATATATATGGGAACAAGACAAGTGAAGGGGAGCTAGATGACAGCGGGAATTCCGAAGTCGTGCATCTCTCGCTGTATTGCTAACTGTGTTAGAGACAGGACCTGAGATCTGAAGTAGCCAGTACCCATCTTTGAGACCTTTGCACGGGTTTCCACACGTTTGCAGCGAAGACGAAGAATCTGTGAAGCTCTTCCTTGAGATTCTGGATTTCCTGGGATTGTAGTAGTGGTTCCAACTCATGAGAGATATCTGAAACAGCTGTAGTAAGAAGTTCATTCCGCAACCGGACTTCTTCTGATTCAAACGCGGTGACCAGGAGCGACCGCAGTATAGCTTTCTGGCGGGGGCGAATCGCGGAAGATCTTTCCAGTGCCTCTCCTATACCCATGCGCCCCATCGGCGATGGTAAACACACAGGGGTGAGTATGTCGGCGGATAGTCTATTGGCGATGATTGATTGAGCTAGGAGCTCCCGAGGGCACATAATATTGGCGTATGAGAGAGGAAAGATCGATTGAGATAGGGGACCATAATTGCTCGTCCGGACGTGCTCTGTATTTTCATGAGCTTTGGACTGCATAAGAAACGTTAGCTGGCACATACCATTAGCGAATTGGGGCTATACTGGCTCGGTAGTAGTTGAGCTCTCAAAGAATTTAGAGCTCAATACCTTCAAGCGCTTTTCCATACTCTGAAATCCATTCCTAAGACTGCAACTAAGTAAGCAAATGAGCTCGCATCTGATAGACTGGTTGTCATACACATCTAGATCAACCTCTCCCACATCAATGTCAAGATTTAAGGTCCTTAGATGAAAGTCCGACTCTTCCAAAATAGTCTGGAGCTTACGGTTCTTCATAATTTGTTCTTCAAGGCGGCGCTGGCACTGCAGCATGTTTTCCTCAGCACCTTTCGTCCCCCGCTCTAGCTCTTGCATCTTTTTTTTCATTGTAATTTGGCTGCTGTCCGCCACCTCCCGTACCCTAGCCTCCAAAGATGTCTTCTCTTCAGCCCATCCTGAGGCGAGTTGCTCCACTTTCAGAAAAATATTATCTCTCTTTCGTTTCTCGTAGTTCAGACATTCTTGGAGCTCTCGAATCTTTACTCCGGCGCCATCCAACTGGCGCTGGAGGTCAGCAATTGTTGTTATGCTCTTGGTGAATGAAAGTACGTCTTGGCAGCGCTTTCAAGAGCTGAGAGAGATGATTGGAAAGATCTCTCTCCCTTTCCTTTTAGGCTTGCTGACATAGTTTTGTAATGCGAATGGCCAAATTCTATATAGTGCCAACTTTCTGCTTAGCCGTAATTTGAGCAATAATTTGTTCCGCGAGAAATTCAGTGTTGTAAGTTGTTCATGGCTAAGGACTCAACCAAGGCTCTGTTAGCTCAGGACTTTAATGGCTAATAAAGACTGCCATGCTTTAAAGGAGCACACCACCTTCTATACTTTGTAATTACTTACTCTCTGCCTACGGAAGTAAGGGCTGTACAGGAGCAGTTAGTGGAGGCGTTTTATGTAGTATGGTGGAGTGTATATACCGACCCTTGCGTTTGATGACCTGTTGAGTACTACAGTCACCGTCTTTATTTTCTAGCTTTACTTGGACCATTAGAAAGAGATGGATATGCAGTTTCTATGAGGCAACTTAGCTAGCGAAAGTATATGACTACGTAGAGGAAATCGTGTCTTCAGTGCTCGTTTAGGGAAGCTGGCAGAGTGTACGGCAAGATATGAGTATTGTTGGACCACTTGCGGTTTGGCTGAGGGGATGTGGCACCATTTTTGCTGTAGTATAGAAAAAGACGCCACACACACAAGTGTGCCGTTGGCTAATTGACTAAAATAATAATTGGTTTCTCTCAAATGATCAGCCATCTTGAGCGATATCGAACGCCCTGAACAAAGAATGTAGGGGTTGTGAAGCGATCTTATTGAACTAGTGTCAGCTACCAGGAATCTTGTCTTTCTCGATTCCTGTGCCTCTACTGTACCGACTGAAGAATGTATAATGTGCGAATTCTCATCTCTGCTTCTCATCAACGCTGAGTAGCCGTATCTCTTGATTATGAATGGCTCAGGTAGTCGATAAAAAGAAGGATCATCACTCCTATATAAACCGAAAGCTTTCCTTACTGAGACGACAGCCTAAGTTTGGGATGACTGTCCTATTAAGCAGGATTTGTCCTGAGCGACCTAAGCAAGAGCTCGAAAGAATGTTTGGGCTAGAGATAATCTGGCTTATCGCAAATACCCGACGTTCCTAACCCGACCGGACTCGTTTGATCGTTAGCCTGGAAAGTTGTACACCCCTTTTTTCCCAGTAAGGTGCTGATGCATTGGCCAGCCATATTCACATCAGCCGCGGATGCACGCTTGATCCGGAAGGTATATATGCTATGCTTAGTACCAAGCTGCATTTGGAAACCCCTCTCATATTTATGCACTTCATTGAGCCTCGCTCCGGATATGAGGCTAGAAACCATTTTTACCCCTCGTCACTTAAAATAAAACCCCCCCGAGCAATGACGGCTACAATCCAGGGTTGGGCGAAACTTTCTATGGTCCTGACTCTCCAACGGAGACCAATACTTTGTAACCTGCACCTCCCATTTATTGGATACAGTAACCCTGGACCTGGAAACCGGGACGGGAATAACAAGAGGAGGACGTGTGAATAGACCGCTCTGTCCATCTTGTCCTCMAGACTAGAAAATAAAAAGGGATTATCATATGCTGTCGAATCGCATTGGGATATCCAGGGTCCAATAAAAATATGGAAATATAAGAAAAGAGGCCTTATATTTCTCTACCCCCAGTATTGGTCTTTCGCTATCTATTGTCCAAGGGGACACTGGGCAGATATTGACCACATGCGTTCAATCTGTACCTAAATAGCTCCTTCCCAGGTAAATTTTCTGCAATTCCCAACTTTAATCTCAGTAATGTCAAACAGCCTGACCCAGGGTCGATAGACAGGGACGACGGGAGGTTGAAGGCGCCCTTTCCCGCATATTGAATCAAGATCGATCTCGAAGCATTCCTTATAGGCATCTTTAATTCACGCGACCACGTCTGTCTTAGGCTAGAATGACTCAGGCTTAGCTCTCCAATGAAATTAACCGTACAGCGGAACAACTGAGCTTTCGGAACCGTTTAAGAAAGGATTTTGCCTCTGTCCACGGACGACATCTCGAACCGCCCTGCATCAGGTATTGATCCAGGCGATAGCAATGCTTTCCCCATGACTGATATACTCTGAATTTTTGTCTTCCTATGGGTTAGACGAATGAATGCGCAGAGGACGTGTACTTCATGTCACGACTTTTGTTTTCTCGCCGTTCGAGCATTTCCACATCAACATGACTCACTCCTAATACTGTTACCTTGCCACTTTACCATCAATTGCAGTCCTTTTCGCCTCAGCGAACCGTTTCGGTAGATCCGCGGAAGGGGTGCTAGGGGTGCTAGATATTTCTGCCATGGTAGGAAGCACATCCAAAGACCATGGCTGCCATTTGAGGGCATCGAACATAGCTTCTAACTCAGGTGGACAAGAAAGCAGAAGAACAAGAGTAGTAGTAAGCTTGCATGAGTTCCATGGGGTCATTTTCAATTATAAAGCTATCCATGAGGCGTAGCCTACATCCTAGATCAACTCTCGTGTCACCGCGTAGGACAGCACTTTTAAGAGCTGCAAACATAAGCAATGCAGCGGCAGCACCTTCGTCGAAAAAGCCTTTTACCACCTTGTTCAATTCTTCCAATGGAGTATACAAGAGTCCCACGCTTCTGCGAGCCGCTGCAGTCGCTTCATACTCGCACTTCAATCTAAGCTTCTCCAGGATACGATCAATCTCAGCAGGACTAGCTGTAGCTGGCTACTCAGTCGAAGGATATCGCCAATCAGATAGTTTTGACCAGGGAGGGATGGATGCCTCGCCCCTGGTCTGCGCGTTATTAAGGTCTGTGTCTATCTGCTTATCCGCTAGTTAGGGATTCTTACCTCCCTTTATGTCGCATTGTTCTAGGGGCCCGCATTATAACAATTGTTGTGTGGTTTTGTGAAAGCCTTTTGAACCCTTGGAGAGCAACCTCATTATTATTATATGGAGACGGCGATAATTGTAAGTGAGAAGATCGAGATCATGTAGCGGAAGTATTTGATATATGGTCTGCCAAGGACTAGTAAAACTGGGGTCATCAGCATTCCTATAGCCCCTTCTGTGTAATGCAACCGGTGATGTGATTGGACCACGAGTATACGTTGAAGCATCAGCAAGGAACAGGGGCTGCAGCGCCTTGATATTCATTATTCTGGCGGTGAAAGAATGGCTCGGTATGAAAAGCTCTTTGTCCAAACCGGGAAAGCTCGCAAGCTAAGTGCCCCAGTGCATCACTACTGCATTGGAAGATCACCACCTGTGGTTGGGCCTGATAGGAAAAGGGAACACGGTGGGGGGAAGGAAACGGGAATGAAATAAAACGAGCCGTTTCTCAGCCCATTGACGAATCACCGAATTCAACCGCTTGACATTAGCGATACGCGCATGTCAATTTCTAAAGGCTGGCACGGCCCGGCATACTCTCTCTCAAATTGTACCGTATATTCTATATTTTGGCGCATCCAATTGGATAAAGCGTTTTCTCAATTCGATCCTCAATTAATTGTATTAACATAGGGTGGAGTCTCTACATGTTTGTAGCAAGAACCGCGGACAACAGTAATCATTTAATTACAAGTAGCTTGACACGTAGATGAGTGAGGGACACTGTCATTAATTGAAGGTATTCGGCAAGGCATTGTATCCCTTGGTGGCCGAACGCCCAGCAGGTGATGAGCCCAGCCGCAAGTGACCTGACATGGTATTGTAATCTTGAGTGGTGACCAAGCCTTGGATCCCTATATTTACATTCCCAGTGTCACAGGGATATTTAGCATCGTTTAAGACTAGTGTAAAGCGTAGCGAATTATGACATGGACAAACAACAACCTGATGCTGTTGGCATTCTCCGCATATTTGAATCAGTTGAATCGTCGCCTCAAACAGTGGCATGTTTCTTCCTAAGCTTCTCCCATGTCACTGAAACCTTGGGAGCGTGAAGTGCTGATCCCCAATATCAATATCACACTTCGACGTTGATATCCTCTTCGTTGAAAGAGGGGCTTATTTACCACCATGGCCGAAAAAGCGAAGAATGGAGCTAATCCTATCTTGCGAAAGGCTATCCGTGAATAGATCCGCAGTTGCTATGAACAAAGCAGACCCATTGAATGAGAAGCAATCAAAGCAAGTATTTGAAGAAGCACCCTGGGCTCGTTAACTATATCAAAGGTATTGTCAACAAGTAAGCGAACCTGGAAGATCCCTTGAAGCTCATGCTGATGAGGCTTTAAGCCACTCGGATTATCTCGAGTCAAAGTTGAAGACAGTCGCTTCTCAGGGTTCTGGTGTGGGTGAGCATTCCAAATCACAGCATCGGTGCTAGCATAGCTATATCTAAAGGCCTGCCATGGCAAAGTTTATTGATAATTTAATCAAGGTACCACTGTCATATATTTCTTGACTAAGCGTTCATCATCGTAACAAAGGCTTTGACTTTAGCGAGAAACATTTTAAGTTCTTGTTGGCTGGGTGCCGCTATGCTGATCGAGGTCATGCTGGAACCGTCAGGAAGGTCGGATGTCCATGTGTTGATGATCAAGCTTCCATCTCCCATTTCATTTTGGAAGTGTCGCCGAAATTCATTCTGAAGACAGCGTAGCCTGAATGAGTAGAGCAGTGCATATGGCAAGCCTCGCCCCTCAAAGTGGCCTTTGAGACATCCCATGCTAAATGAACCGGTGGAACGCACATTCAGGTCAAAGATTAGCTGGCGCCCGCTTGGATCAACAAGGATATCTGCACCCACGGCGCCATAGTACCCTTTGGCATGCAAAAGGCTAGCAATTTGGCCCATGAGTGCTGCATATTCCTTTTCCAGTTGTGGCTGCTCGGGGTAGCAGATACTCCCCCCAGTCCACATACCCCCTACGTCAAAGAGCTGGGTACAACAACCGATAAATATTGCCCGTCCCTTCTGCGTCACAAAAAATGATAGCGCCACGGAGTTGCCAGGGATAAACTCCTGGAACACTAAGCAACAAGGATGAAGGTGTTGATTCACCGGGCTAACATCGCGCAGCATTAGTCTCAATTCGGCTTGTAGAGCTACTTTCGCTCTCTGTCGTTCCGATTCGGTTCTTATAATGAATGTTCCGGTCCCACCAGTTGCTTGTGGAACTTTAACTATAAATGGCAAGACTCGCGTATCAATAGGGCATATCATGCGGCGAATCTCCTCATTCAATTTCTCTGGACTATAAATATTATTGGCCCCGATAGTCGTTTCAGCCACAAACGTTTCTGGAGTAGGAAGCCCACTGTATGCAAGACCCCGCTTGGAAAGTAGATCATAATGAACCTCTGGGTCAACCAAGTGCGAAAGATGTGCAAGATGGTCCAAGGGGTTAAGAACCACAAGCTTATGGTCAGCATCCAGTGCAAGATCTCTGAAGTTTGCGATAAATGACAATTTTGGGCGCTGCTTGGGATGCAACTGTCCGAGGACCGCAGTGGCGTCGGCATGGTAACGACGCGATGCGCCTTCCGGCCCTTTGCCCTCGTTTTCTTTGGATGATGGATCTAGCAGCAGTACTGGAAGCTTTCCTGCCACGAAGGAATGCTTCAGTGGAAGAGTGTGCAAACGTCGTAGAGTCAAGATTGCTTTCTCTTTTTCCGGCCACAGTGGGGCTTGGTACGGAAATTTCGTGGACGACGAGAATTGAGTAGGCGGGAAAGGATAAGCGAAGACAAGCACAAGATTCGAGGCGTCTCCGTCGATTGAAAAAAGGTCTTCTAGTGTATAGTCAAGCACGACAAACAGACCTTCGCCGGCAGTCATCCTGGCGTTTTGTTTCAGGTTGAGATCGCTTTTTCGGCGGGTGTAAGGAAGTGGACGATCTGAGGATTTGTAGTTTAGTTATTAGCCCTGTATCCACATGACCAGTTCAGGTGGCCCACATGTTCGCACATTTAGCACTAACTAGCTTCATAAATAGATTGCTTCCACAGATCTACAGAGTAGAGACCAACTCACTTGGCATTATCCACTGGAAGACTGATCACCTACGTTTCCTAGTTAGGCCTAGCGCTATCACTTAGTTAGACACACACCCAATTTCCTCATTTTTCTAGATAGCTCTACACAACGGATTCAGACTAGATAATTAACCTCTACTATGAGTACTCATTCTTCAAATGCTCCAATATCCAACCCTTTCGGAGATCGTTTGCCCCACATTTCGTCAGGTCTGCCCAACTTTGAAGGAGCGGTCAGAAAGAAAGGAAATATACKTGGGTCCGATATTCTGAAAATATATTCATAGGAAAGTTAACTTATTTGGATTGTGTGAGGTCAGACCGCAATTAGTCAGAGTTCGGTAAACTTAGAAAAATTTAGTTTGCATTAGGATGCTGTTTGTGAAGGGATTATCAACCTATTTGAATGTACTTTTTACATTCTCGCTTCGGAACATGCTGACGGCTGTAAGACCACCTGTGCCACGAAGGATCTCCAGATGCTTCCCTCCCAATACGGTCGATGCAAGTGAGGATGACAATAATCGTGACAGAATGGGCATGATTAATAAATAAAAATATTCTCCAGCATATAGGGACACTGGAAATGGTCATCAAGTACTTGAGGGATACGAACCCGGCAAGAGTTCCAGGGGCACGACAACAAGGTTTCAGCACACAACACCCAGCCTAGGGAGAACACGTAATTGGGACCACATCGAGACGCAGAAAAAGGAACCTTCCCAGTTATGTATAGTTATTCTTTAAGTTCTTCGGTAAATGAGAGCTCTTTTTGAAAGTAAGCCTTCGTATACGCAACTCGAAACCCTAGGCGCTCAGCATTTCTCCCACTCGCATTTCCCATCTTGACTGTAACGACAGCCAGGTGGCATCCCAACTTGCGCGCATCCAATAAGCGTTCCCGGTCGAGCGCGATATGAAGACCTCTGCCACGATATTTAGGAATTGTACTATCAAGGTAGAGATACGCCACCCTGCCATAATCCGTGTCAATTAGCGCCATCGCCCCCGTGCCCGCGGCTTCACCGTTGACTTTCACGAAATAAAGCGATGTATCAGCTCTCCGTATGGCGACGCGTGCCAGGGTTCCGAGAAGCTCCGTCGAGCGGCCGTTATCACGAAATCCGTCCACGGAGCACCGCACAAATTCTTCGTGCTCATCATGCTTGACTGGGGAGATGACGACGCTCATATCTTCTTGGCGATCAGCAGATGGCGCATCGACGATGTTATGGATATCGATGTCGTCGAGAGAGCGGATGTAAGCGTTCATGAAGAGCTTGACCTTGTATCCCCTAGCGGCAAGAAGTTGGAGCAAACTCTGTTCAACGTATGGACATAGGTCAATTGTCGTTGATAGTCCGACATCAGAGTACAATAGTTCAATCCTGCGCAGGTCGTCGCCACTGACTGGACCTCTCATTCCGAGTCCCCTGACGACGTTCAGCTTCTGACCGAACCTGGCAGGTGTCACAGCTACCGTTGCTCCCGCGACCTCGTGGACACTGATTTTTTCCACAGGATACAATGTGTGGCAGGCATCGACTTGACGGGAAAGATTACGGCGGTCTGTTTCTTCAATGCACTGAACGAGAGCTAGTGAAGTGATAGTTGCGGAAAGTGGACGTAAATCCTGGCGTTCGTTGATTTCCTGGCGAGCTTCTTCAATGGATCCTGTTTTAAATGCCGGATCGAAGGGGGTAGTTTGGCCCATGGTTTCTTCGTTTTCCAGTGTGACACTAACGTTGGCCCTTGATATGTGAGCGGCAGAACAGAGCGACTAAACTGGGCTTCGATGCAGGTCTTTGATATGGCTTAGCCCCTGTAAGTTGTAGGCTGCCACAGCGGGAAGCCAAAGCATAAATATAATGATCATTCGTCACCGCTTCTTCCCATCTAACGCCGCTCGCGCTAGGACTACCGCTGTAGATTGCCTACATGTCCGATCGAAAAGATCGGCCCCACCGAATTCGCTTCTGTAATCGAAGCGTCCCGCCACTGTGAACGAGGTCCACAACCTTTCGCTCAACATCTTATCAACCACGTTAGCCTGCTGAGGACTCGAAGTGTTCGTAGTCCATCTGGACCAACGTCATGAGCGGCTTGGTCAATTTGTCCTTGCTTGCAATGTCAACGTTCGCCGGTATGACAGCAAGTATGATGCACCTAATTCTTCGTATAGTATTCAATGTGGTCGATCATAGCTTTCTTCTTTTCCTCGTTATTCCTAGAGTAGTATTCTCGAAGAAGATGCCCATCACGCTACAGTGCTGTATCTTGTTATATAAAATTACATAATGGCACGAGACTTCAGTCGAATTCCATGGAAACCTGAAGTGGGTCCCCGCAAATCAGTTCGTGGACGTCTGCGCGGTTTTCGACATCAGTTACAATAGCTCTTACACTCTACGACTTCCTGGAAAATGAATCCGGAATATGACAGTCCTGATTGGACATGGTTGTCCAGTCCCGCTTTTCAGGCCGCTTTCCATAATAGTGCTTGTATTTTACGAATATCGAACCTATCGAACCCAGATTGATGTACCTGTGCCATACGTGGCGCACGGGTACCGTACGCGAGAACAGCTATACACGCCTTACCTCTATCCCCTTCTGTAGTTTGGCAAGCTGCGCTGGTAACTTGTCTCTCTCTCTCTGCACCTGGGCCAACTCGGCAGCTAGCTTATGAATATTTCATTGGTTATGCTAGGTACTCACCGTACTCTATCTTGGTTAAGAAGGTGTGGAATATTACTAATTAAGTAATTTTCCATAGCTTAAACCACAGTCCACAATGTTATCTATAAAGATCCTAAGCGCAACCTGGCTGGAATATACCTGGTTTATTATCTTTTAGTAGGCTGATATAGACTCTGAGTTAGCAGCTCACTATAAAGACTTAGGAGTTAAGGAGTAGATATGGACTTGCTACTAATGTACTATAGTATAATATTATCTCTGTATAACCCTGTTGCTTTAGATATATATACTATTATCCTAGCCTAACTAGAAAATAAAGCATATACTTGCCCTCCACATTGCATTTGACTTTGCTGTTTGATGTGGCCACTTCCCCTAAGTTCCCTACCAGGTGCCAACTGCTGTCCATTTCGCATTTGTTTCACAAACTTCTTGTTATACCTATCAGATATGAGCTTGATATCTACAACCCCTAGGTAATGAGTTCTTGGAACAAGCGTGGGTGAGATAACAGAATATGTAGTGGAACCAATCTTGGATGCATCATGCAAGGGTTGATTGATTGAAGAAAAGAACGCATATCATGGGGCAGGTTGAATACCCCATTGATGGCTCTGATACACGGTGTTACGACAACCATAATGCCAAGGCTACCAAATTACTATAAAAAACACAAAGGAAAGTAGGTCACTCAATGTAACCCCTGTCGCGGTGGTAAGTTACTGCTCCATGTCTTAACAATCCATTAGTATGCTCCAACTCTCTTCTTATACGCAGGCTGTTCTGACGCCGTGATCTCACCTAGTGCAGAACGCACTGGTGTGGAATTCGTCAAATGGAAACCTCCCAGTCTCGCACCATCGCTCTCCTGAGCCCAGAGCGTTAGTGCGACCCAGTTCTCATCTTGATAATTCAATATTCCCTGTGGCACGTGGAACTCCATTTGGGGTCCGATATGTGGTATGAACTTGCCGAACTGATATCCATTAACATACAGTTGCACTCTATACGGCTTCGTGGTGGCGGAATTGTTGCTAAAGACGAAGGACAGCGGGATATCATGATGTTTGGGGATATCAAGACGGAAGGAGGTGGAGTAAAAGCCGATACCAGCTTCATCGAGCCCAGTAAAAGGACTGGAGATCTGCCAGTGTTCACTCGGTGGTTTAGGTTGATGCCAGCCTTGCCGCTCTGCGTAGAGGCCTCCTTCGTTCAGTGGCCCACGCGCAAGATCGATGTAGTCCTCACCGCCGAGATTACCGGTCAGTTTCCAGGAAATGTCATGTTGGTTATGACCCGAGAGGCTGTAGTCAAGAATACCCCGTGGGTTCTTCAACTGACTCAGGGGACCTCTCCATTCTTCGTCAAGACCCATTACTTCGACAACAATCGTCAAGACATAGCTGCCACCTGATTTGAGGGAGGGCAAGTTGAAGGTAGATGACTGGGAGTCAATTGAAGCGCTACCATCCCAAGACCCTATAAACATCTGGTTAAGCCAAACGGAGCTTCCATACGCAGTACCACCTTGAGTCTGCATGGTGAATGACTGCTCTAGACCATTGGCGACGAAGTGGCCGCGGTACAGCAAGGTTCCAGTATGAAAGCCGTAGTCAGATGAATAAAGAGATACAGGGGTTTTCAAGGGGGCGACGGTGTTATTGGTCGTATTGTGATTAGCACTAATCCAAGCGCTGTCGTCATAAAATGGTTGGACTTCTGGCAAGCTATTGATATACTTCCATTCTAACTTCGAAAAGTCTGGAAGAGTAAGGCTTGGGCTTGTGTACTTGAATTGCGTCGTCCAGAACCCGTTCAAATCTGTATCGTAACTAAATTTCTCGCCATTGATGAAAAGGCACTTGGCTACGTTTGGAGCTCCAATGACTTCGATGTCAGTGGTGGCGTTGAAGTCGACTGTGAGATGCAGTTGGTCACCTTGTATGTGGGCTGTGCGTACAAGGTAACCAGCTTTAACAATGATCGAGTTTTCAATGACACTTTTCGTTGTAAAATCAGTCTTGGAGGATGAAGCATCGAGCTGAGGGACCCAATAATTGTATGCAGAGTTACGATCTGCTTGTTCTTAGCAATGACACACCTGGAAGCAACCACTTCAGATCTCACCAAGGAGCAAAATCAGTAGATCTCCAACTTTGACAATGGTCCGCGAAGACGACACATCCCATGATACGATAGACTGGCCGTTCACGGACTTTGTCAGAATAGAAGACTGTTGACCACTCAATGTACTAGCCGCTGACTTCGAGGAAACTGCAATTTCATGATGCTCGCCCAACCCGCCGTAGACTATAAGCACGCTGTAGTGGTGGAACTTCTTCCATGTAAGTATCTCGGCTGTTGAGTAGAGAACGTGTGTGCCTCCAACATCGTAATCGGTGACGTGGACCTTGGAGTCGCGGCCGTTCAGAGTCAGCGAACCTCCTAATTGAGGCACGGCCAGAGTACCAGCGCTCGTTGGGACCTTAAGAGTATAGTTCGTAGAACTGGTACTGGTGTAGTCAGTATGTCTGATGACGAAAAATGAGGAGTTGTGCCCAATCAATGGAGTCACAGTGAGGTCAGTTGTTTGTGTGTATTGTGTCGTCGATGCGTTGCCAGGTACAGCAACGAGATACGATGGCGAGGCTTTGAGGAAGTTGCCAATGAGTTTGAGTGCACTGTACTTTTCACGGTTTATCTCTCGTGTTTCAGATATCGCAGCACCATAGTCGTAGCTTGAGTATCCTCCCGGATAACCGAGGTTGCCCCAGTTTGTGCCACCGTATATCTGCAAGGAAATTAATATATGTCGGTCTCTTTCGACAAAGTGGAAGTCTCACCATGTACAGATTCAAAACAGCAACCCCTGCGGCCAGGTTGTTCTTGTAGAAGACATTTTCAAACTGAGCATTGAATACAGCACTACATTTGTCGTAACCCGAGCCTCCCCAACCATCGAAGAAACCGCCTTGGAACTAGCAAAATGGTAAGAACGAGTATGCGGAAGTAAGGAAATTTCCAGGAGACATACCTCAACAAGTGAAAAAGGAGTAGACGGGCTTTGCTGCATGTGACGCTCCCGCAAATAAGTGGGCAGAGCTCCTGAAGGCCATGACGATGGGGTTTCCTAGTTTTCTTATTAGAATCCTGAGCTACATCGACTATGGAATTTACAGCCCTACGCAAGATCCAATACTATTCAAGACCGTTAGTATATTGAGGAAGTGAACGACTTGAATGCACTCACGGGTAGGCGTCATGACCATAAATATCCACAGCCCCTACTCCGGACCCGGGCAGGAAATCCCCAGCGGGCCATTGGTCGTTGCTAATGAACGGAATTACCACACCCGCTTCTCTGGCAGTGTCCATAATGTTCTGCATATATTGAGGGTCAACGGTTGTGGCGTTTTCCCACGGGGTGTACTCATTCTCGGGTTGATAGAGAATGATAGGGCMGCCGTTAGTGATTTGATTTTTGGCAATTGTACGGGCAACATTTGTCAAATATCTATAAAGAAAGCTTTTTAGTCGTGCAGCAAAATATGGAATGTCTCATATCAAGAGGTCCATACAATTCGTATGTCTTCATGTACTCAGGGTCTCCACTTCGCAAAGTCCCAGGAACTCTTGAAAGCCAGCCTGGGAAGCCGCCGCCGGAGACTTCAGCGTTGATATAAGGACCGGGCCGGGCAAGAAGATAAACTCCCGCTTGAGAGGCCGCGTCAAAAAAAGGCTGCAGATCGAACACACCATCTGCGCGATAGGTGCCCCGGTTGCCTTCCAAAAGAGCCCAGTCAACGTAAAATGAAACGGTATTGAAGCCGAGCGCTTTAACTTTTTGGAACACGTCGAGATGAAGTGATTGGACAGGAAGCCTGGAATCACAATTAGATGATTATTAGGGGATATTGACTCCTTTGAAGCGTACCGGAATGGGTGTATTTCACCCGAAAAGATCATGGCTCTCTCTCCATGGATATAGAGCGATTGATTATCCCATGTCACCTGGCTATGTCAATAGAAATTCCGTAGATGGCGCAAAATGACCATTTTCTCTTACGATATTTTGCAACAAAGCCCGCTTTTCGCCGCCCAGGTGATCTGTAATACCGTAAGAGCCAATTCGATGAGACAAAGTCCTTCCTAGGACTTGCACCGACAGACAAGCCAGAGCCGGGACTGCAGAAAGGAGCTTCATGTTTTGAGATGGCTGCAATCAACAACCACTCAAGCTACAGAGGTTTGGATTTTGGAAAGCCTTGTAGGATGCAATTTTCGCAATCCTGAAGACAACCATGTAGGATGTGTAGCAGGGTCATTACCCCGCCCTCAATCCTTAAGGGTTCATTCAATTTTCCCGATCAAGAGGTAATATTCCGCCGCCGGAAGAGGAGGGGGGGGGGGGGCGGGTTGGGGGGCGGCGAAGATTCTCAAGTCCGTCGTATTTATTTGAATTCAGCAAACCCCGTAGGCCCGGTTTCCGTAGCTCTAAGATATAAGCATGGTAGCTGGAGTGTCGGGTCAGCATGGCGTGGAGAGTGTGTATCGCGTTTTCAGATTTTCCGATCAAGAGGTAATATCCCGGCGTGGTAGCAAGTGGAATTGAACCCTGAGGCAGAAAGGATAAGCATTATTGGACAGAATGAACTCCCTAGGTAGTATTATTAGCTGTATTATTAGCCGTTCGTCTCAGGCTGAATATGCCTTCGTACAAAATCTAAAACAGCGGGTTCAACTGATAGTCGATAAAACATTACAGAATGTTCCATGACTCCTCAACAATGGTGGCAGGGTTGGATTTGATTAGCGGTTCAGTTACGCAACTCTAATATAGAGTTATATAAGGAATACCATATTCACATATAATTTTAGTAAAATTTTCTTTTTTTTTTTCTTTAGGTTGAGCGGCTTCACGGGCCTTAACCATACTAGATGCATTATATTTACTAGCTTTAGGTATATTAGGGGGTGGGAATAGCTTTAAATAAATAATAATATGTAGTTTTGATAAAATCTACAGTTCCGGTGATATCTACGGTTCTGGTGTGGCTGCCTAAGGCGCGGATATATCTCCGCATTGGCCCCACACGTTGGGGCATCTAAAGGGGCCAGCGTCGGATATCTCGCGTATCTCCCTAATGAAGGTTACATCGGTTCGTGATCGGCATCACTCAATACGAAGAAAGCCGCAATGCGAACGGCTTGCCAAGAAGGCTCAGAACGAGCGAGAAATTTCACGCCATTCAAGAAGTACACCAAGAATGTGCCGTTCAACTACTTTTCGAGAAGGCTGAGGTAAAGAAGACGCTGAGATGGAGCGCACTTTCATATACTCATAGTCCATATCCAAAACCTCTCGCCGCTGCACCTTTCCGTATATCTAACCTCGCCTTAAAATCTCCCTAATCCCATCGCCCAAAAGCATCTTCGCAAACACGGGATGAAGTAGTTCCCTCACAACCCTCGGCACCGCTGGCTCCCCAGTGAGCGGATCACATGTGAAGCCAGAATGTGTAATTATGACAGCATCCCCGTCCCGCTCCACCTCGACGCGGTCCGAAAATACCATGTGCGATTTATCTGAGCCGCCTACGTACTCGACGAACGCTTGGTTTTGTTTCGTGGCGCCGGTAGACTCAATATGGGTGGGATATAGTCTCCGTCGGATATCTGGGTTTGCCGCGCTGGAGTCGAGGAGCTGCCAGTTACCGAATACCAACGTCCCGAGGGGAAATAGCGTGGTTCTGTTAAACTGGGAGAGGGACCAGACCGGGGTTGGGAGTGTTGATGCTAGATCTTCGTCATGAAAAGCTGCCCATAATAATAATCATCCTTGTCAGATACGGTCCCTCCTAGAATTAAACCACAGACCATAGATGGGGTGAGAGTCAGGTACCGGTAAAATCTGTCATAGCCAGCCCTGTTGCACGCAGCGCCCACCGTTCCGGCGCGAACGCCCATCCGCCGAAAAAGCCTTTTGAGAAGCGGGCCAGGATCTCTTCGTCACTAATCCCGGGCTTCAGGTCGCGCAGGGGAATGCGGATGGTATAACTGTCTCCATAGACGGGCATCCCGCGCGGGTTCGCGAGGGCCATTGTGGGCGAGTTTTGGTGTGCGCGGCTTGGTTGCTTGGAAAGAGTCGCGTGGCGAGCGGGCGAAGTGTAGGCATACGTGTAGGCGGCTAGACCTGTACCAAGGGGGATGGAGAGGAGGGCACTCCAAAGTTTGCGAGAAGGCATTCTGTCGAAATGAAGAACTGAGGAATGGATTCCTTCCGGCAAGGTTGTTTGAGACGGAGCGCGAGAGCCTTTGGCAAACGGAGGATATTCTCTTCGGTTCGTACCGAGGAGGCTTTTTAAATCGTTGCGGGGTTGGAGCCGCCTCTTATACGAGCTCGTGTTGTATTGGGCTTGTGGGAAGAACCCCCTGACTAAATGTAGTAAATTAATGTACTTATCCATATTGCAGGTGGATACCTGGTTAATTATCTCAAGTAAAGTAGGCTCAGTAAGAACTATATTCGCCTTAACCTGGACTTCCAGCTTAACTGTTATTGTTGATTGTGGAAAACCCACAGGCGTTATCACCTGTATCAATATAGCTACGGGACTCACATTACAACCTAGAAAGGAGCTGGGCTGCTCCAAGGCAAGACATGGCTGTGCTAAAGCCTGATATGAATTTGTAGGTATTCAACTAGTACCCTAATTAAGGAGAAAACCCCATAGTAGATTTTCCTATCGACATAATTCTAGTGTTTAATATTAAAATCCTGAGAGCCCTGCAGATTCACTCATAATTATACTATAATTTATAGGAGTAGCAGTACTTTGAAAATACCCCTCCTATAAGCGTCCTATTATGTGGCTTAAGATACTCGCTTAAATTAGTATTGCCCAGTATGCAATTTAAGCTCAATCGAGAGTTAAATCATGCATTCAATGAAACCGAGTATGTCTTAAGCAGCGCCACCATCAATCCCCAACACCTTCCCATTAACCCATTCACTCTCGTTCGAAGCCAAGAAGCACACCACCTTGGCAATATCGATGGGATAACCGCATCGGGTCAAAGGCGACACCTGCGCCACAACCTATATCGCTAGGCTTTCGTCCAATCTGAATAACTCGCAAATGGGGACTTACATCGAGAATCTGCTGCTTGGACAAAGTGTCTGCATTAGGCAGATAGTCCTTTGCTGTCTCGTGGAGCAAATCAGTGACAATACCGCCAGGCGCGATTGCATTGACGGTAATCTTCCGGTCACCGCAGTCTTTGGCCAGACAATGGACAAACGTGTTGATGGCGCCCTTGGAAGCAGAGTAAAGCGAGCTCCCGAGCACAGTAAACGAATCTGGCGTGTTCGAACTCATCAAAATAATCCGGCCATTCCGATTGAGGTGCTTGTACGCCTCACGAGCGACGAAGAACTGTCCGCGTGTGTTCAACCCGAACACCCGATCAAACTCTTCCTTGGTGACATCGCTGAGATGACCAAATGAGACGACACCAGCGTTAGAGCAAATAATGTCAAGCCCTCCATACACTTTGACGGCTTCCCCGAAGAGTCTAATGATCTCTGGCACCTGTCTCACGTCCGCTTGGATGGCGACAGTCTCGGAGCCGAGCGACTTGATCTCTTCGACGATTTCGTCGGCTGGGCCGGACGATTTGGCGTAGTTCACGATGACCTGCGCACCACATTTGCCCAGTTCGACGGCCATGGCTGCTCCAATGCCGCGACTGGATCGGTCACCAAAGCGGCTTTGCCGTCGAGGCGGTAGGGAATATAGGAGACGGAACTCATTTCGCACCTCTCTCCTATGCGAAAGTGAGAACAACAATAGTTAATTAAGGAATACTGCTTCAAGGAGACAAAGCTACTTTCTGGATATATAGTACTTTGCTTTCCCCCCAATCCGAGTCCGGTCAATCTGTTTTGGTGTTGGTAGGGTCCGAACTTCCGGGTTAATCGTCCGACACCCGTTTCCCGAAAACACTGAAGGACGATATGGGTCAATATCGGACTTCGGGCTGATTGCTAGAGCGGAGTTCCTCCATATATATCCATACATTCGCTCGTCTCGAAATCATTATCAGGTCTAAACAGACTTATCTTTCACTGACACACCGAATTAAGATGCCAGCCCCCGCTCCCATTCAAGCAGCAACCTTGCAGCGCTTCATCCTGGCCTGGAAGAAATGGAATGCCCAGGAATGGATCTCCACCTTCTCCGACGATTTTGAACAGGTCACCCTCCCTGTCGGCCAAGGCATTCCCATTCAACACGGGCTGGGGTTGAACTTGTCTTGTCCGCCCTTGTTGCGACGGTCAAGTCATACGAGGTAGATACCTAGCGGGGTTTGATTTAACAGGACATGCTAATTGAGATAGCTTACAATCCGCCATGTCATCCATGACCCGGGGAATAACAAGGCTGCTATATACGCTGTGTCCAAAGGAAATCTTCCGTGGGGAGATTGGAATCTGGAGTACTCGGCATTTGTGACTTTTACTGAAGATGGGGAAAAGGTAGCCAAGGTGGAAGAGATGCTCGACACGGCGTTCTTGCAGGACTTTAGGCCGAAATATGAAAAGTACTTGCAGGATCATGGGTGCCCTGTTGCTGTCGCTGCGCGAGGGAGTTGAACCTTTTTTATGCCCTAACCAAGATTGCGTTATTACGGCTGGTATGTAGTTATAGATCCATCAAGGGCTCCTGCGCTACATGTGCCCTCACGTAGATCTGAGGAACTTGCTGACTACGAGAAAGACATAAAGACTGACATGGACAGCGGCAACGCCGAATTTATGACAGCGCAAACCCTAGGTACCATCTATCAACCCTAATTCTCGCCATTCTCTCCACTCTGGCCATTCCCGCCATTCTCCCCAAAATTCTCCTCCCCATCGGCAAACACCTGATCGTAGTCAAACTCAGTCCAACTGATCTTCGGACACACGCCGGCGAACTTCCATTCCCCCTCCACCTTCGTATACCACGTCGTGGCAGTTCCAGGCGCGTGGCCCTTCACTGCCACCTCTTTCAAACTGTCATCGGTATACCGCTGATGCACCACGCGCAGCTGGTGTTGGCCCACGATTTGGTCATCGCTAACCTTTTCCCACTTACTCAACCTGACCAGGTGCTGCTCGTTTCCCAAGCAGCGCGGGTCAGAGGCCATAAGAATGAATTCGTCTCGGGGCATGGCTTCCCAGATTTTGTCAAGGAAGGAGCGATAGTCGATCATTTTTTCCCCGTCAGTCAAACCTGAGCTCTTTGCTAAGTGGGAAACCAAAGACGTACTCTAAGTGTGGGGGCCACGGATTTCTTAAGCCGCTCCAAATCTCTTGTGTCGTAGCTGTCGGCCCATTCGAAAAGGGCGCTTTGGCAGCTTGTTACTTCTGGGTATTGTTAGAAATTATGCCAAACGTAAAAGGGACCACCGTATCTTCGAAGGTAGGAGTCTTCGCCATTGTGAGTATAGAGGTGAACAATGTGCTGTTGACGTATTGCTTCGAAATGTACGCGCACATTCATTTATGGTATTTACCATAGTCGAAGCAAAGGCCGAACGCCTTTCCTTCTACGCCGTCATGTCCGAACCCCGAATGACCGCCTCCGGCCGGAAAAGAATAATAGAAAACGACATGAAGAACTCAGGAAACGTAGGGAACTCCATGAATTACATTGCATAGCACTGCCTCCGCCATGGCCAGATATGCTGTCCTTGGCGCGACAGGTAGCTGCGGCACCTCGCTCATCGACAACCTGCTGCGCATGAGTGACGCAAACATCAAGGCATACTGCTGCAATAGGGCCGAGCTGATCTTAAATGTTCTGAGATAGCTGACAACGAGCGCGTACGCGTCTTTAAAGGGAGCATCTACGGCATTGATCTTCTGTTGGAATGCGTCCGCAACACTTGAGCCATCTTCCATGTAGTGATGACCAACGATAACATCCCGGACTGCCATGTCGGCCTGGACCACGGCAACGAGCAGCGCCCTGCTGAACTACTGTGAGCATTGTTCTATTTGAGATATATAGACTATATATGATCACGACTAGTACATACGACCATAGGGTGTGGAAATCAGGGCCTCCCGTCCGCTCAGCCGTACTTAAGCCACACGCCGGCCAGTTAGTAGTTGGGTGGGTGAACATCAGCGAATCCTGGCTGTCGTATGTTTTTTGAATGAACCCAGAAAAGAGATAAAAGGCACGCCGCTTGTACCCAGGGAATTTTGCATGTATCTAGGGTTATGACCTGTGAGAACAAATCGTGACATTTTGCCCAATTGATAGTCCAAACTATCTGTGTACTGGTTCTATCACCGCGGTTCCCACTCCAACAGCTCAGAAAGGAGGGGGGAAGAAAATAAAAGTAGAAAAAAAAAGAAAAAAAAAATCTTTGAGAAGAAGGAAACCTTCAAGCAAGTGACCAGAGAAAGAACAATGGAAAGAGGAAACGTCAGCCTTTCATCATAGTTTCAGTAGTGAAGCATGTCTAAAATTTTGGCGGACAGGTTTCGGAGACGCTTGCGCACATTGCCCTCGATCTGCTCGAATAATGAGTTGTGAAACGGATACATGATTTCCATACATGAAGGCAAGTCCGCACAGTTGTCATTGGAGACCGTGCTCGGGGTCCATGATGTGTTACCCTCGCGTTCGCCGTAGAGTTTGAATCGGTGGGAAATGGTATTCACCAAACGCTGGACGAGATGAAGTTGGCTGAGGATCTCTTGCGCAGCCATGCGTGTTTGTTTCTTGCCTTCTCCCGCGTAGCCGAGTGGGGCCGTGCCGCCGGGAGGAACTTGTTGGGTTTGGTCAGAATGTGAAGAGACGAATGCGAGTCAGCGACAGAATCAGTCATGGTCATCGGAGCGTCCCAGAATGGACTGTTGGTGTCGAAACTTGGGAGCTGTCGTACGATAGCGGCACAGCAGCCCGGGCCTTTCGGGATTTCGACGGATAGGATGGCGAGAAGATACCCGTCCTCGGAGCATCCGCATTGTAGGATATCGTTGAGGGTCTGCACGATCATTGCATTGCGGGCGACTATCGACTGAACGGTCGGAGATTCGCCCGGGCAGGGTCCTTCTTGTGCAGTGGTGAGGCGCGACGCGGGGGCTGTGGTGGGGAAATATGTCAAGAGGCCTAAAGTACGGCCGATGGAGCAGCACGCTGACCCCGTGTTGGGCGCCTCGGGGATCGATGCCTGGTTGGTCGACGACTCTTGTGGAGGGTCGACAGAGGTTAGACACAGTACAACTGCGGGAATTTAGCCGGTGGGGGTGACCTGAGACAACTCTGATCCGGATTATTTCTGTCTCACACCGTTTTCTTGTTATCAAACCTGATCGACGTCGCCAGTGGCCTCGACGGGGGTGCGGGGATGGAAGGGTTCATTGGTGCGATATTCTACGAGCACAACGTCGCGCAAGCCACGATGATCAACCAGACATGATTGGCCATACCTACTTTGTCTTACTCTCTGGATTTTCCTGGTCGTAAGCCCTTTCTGACATTCCGTGGCGGGATCGAGCACGTAATGGAGGCTGCATGGCAATAAATTCGTGCCAGTTCTTGCCTTAGCTTGATCCTGGCAAGATCCTCCGCAGGAAGGACTAGCCATTCCCCGTCGGAGAACATGGCGGTGGGGATGTGACAACAGGGAAGAAACACATTGACCACTTGATGCTGGAAATTCCTGCGACTGTGAAAATACCTAACTGGTATGATGTGAATGTGATGATTTATGCACTGCGACTGATCGGTGGCGTTACTGTTCCTTGAATGGTGAAACATTGCCCCAATAGAATTTGGCGATGTCAAATCGTCATATCGTAAGGATATCGAATACCGCATAGTAGTGATATGAGCATCATATAGTGGGCATATTAAATGGTAAGTAGTAGGATATTAAATACTACCATACCTAAGTATATAGTTCCAATATGCGGTACTAATAGTGGGGGTAGACTGGTAGTGGATATGGGTTGATTCGCGACCTGTTGACTGTTCAACACACCCACATATCTAACTCACCCATTACGAATAAGCATATGGCTAACCAGAGTGGGGACTGCAGAATCAATACCAGTACACCCTTAATTCATTGTATGACATTGCAAGCGGTGCAAACTTCATCGGCCAGACCTGTCTCATTGGAACCGATTCAACCTCTGGCCAGGTCTTTTATACTGATAATTGGAACGTGATTGTCCGTGCCGATAGCTGCTAGGTTGATCATGTCCTGAGCACTTTAGCTAGCAGGCTGTTCGTGCGATGGCCTGCTGCAATGCTCGAATTCTACATGTTATAGTGCGGGACGGGGTTGTTATTGGTTAGGTGGAGTGGCATGGTTACTAGGCTATAACAGGTTTATCTTTATACAAGTCACAGAACCTACTCCGTACGTACAAAATATCGTTGTCATAAGGAATTTACTAGACTACCGGTTAAATAGTTCGGGGATCGGTAGTAGTCTAAGCTGTGCCAGTGTACCCTAAGGTGCTGGATACTGCTAGCACCCTGCAGCATTTTTCCTTTTTCTTTTGCCTATTTCAAAACAGTAACTGAGAAGTGGATAAACAATAGCACTCCCAGCGGCATTGGACGTGGGCAATTCCAGACTCGTGATTGTTCCTAGTCTTGTTGACCGTTGCCTTCTTTCTTCCTTTGTGTTGTCCGCTCTGTGACCGCACATACGATTTCCACATAATGAAGTATTTCATACACTCTTCTCGCAGAATTGAGATGTCCAATTTGAATACCAGATACTCTAATGTACAAATTGAATCACCGGCTCTCCGGGACGTATAGAATCGCATTATCTCTACTCGGATTATGTTTACCCCATCTACCCGTATATCCAAAAGAACAGATGCCCGCAGCCTACCCTGACACGTTCTTCTTACCCTTGGGCATCCTCGCCACCCAGTACAAGAGCATCGCCGCCGCAACGTTGAAAGCAACATATGCCCACATGATGCCAAAGTTGCGCCACCTGGTCTCGTACTCCGCATGAATAGCCGCTAGATACACATTCGTCTCCTTGACCTTGCAGTACTGGCAGTTGGCCGTAGCACCCGATTCCAGCAGATACCCACCCGCCGCGGAGATATGCTCAGTCATGTACTCGCCACACGTCTGACCGGCGGGCGGATCGAATGTGGTGAACTCGTTGCTCGCGCAGGTCACGTTTACATTAGCGAGGCCCGTCGAGAGGACAGCTGAGACATAGTACGAGAGCGGCGAGGCGCGGTACAGGAAGATCCAGATGCGGGGCATCTGGTCCGGCGAGGCGAGGACGCCGCAGAAGAAGAAGGCAAGCACGAACATGAAGTTGGCGATATTGCCGCCGTCGTCGGCTGAGCCGGCGAACGAGATGCAGAAGTGCGCGAACGTGGACACCCACATCAGGAACACCCAGAAGAGGAGCAACATCAACACGCCACGCTCGGGGCCTTGGTCCGCAGCGTCAGCGTTTCTGTAGAAGCCCACGGGGAAGTAGAACAGCGCCCACATAAGCAAGGAGGCGACTGTGTACCAGGGTATCTCGGTTAGGATTTGGCTGAGCATGAAAATCTTCCAGCTGTATGTTTTGGCGGGCCTCTCGCGGGCCTCGTAGAGCGAGCGCTGCGTGATGAAGTGGGGGAACTGCTGGTCTACCAGCTGCCCGACGATACTCATCAGCTCGAAGATTGCGAACATCTGGTTCTGCAGGCCCTGGATGCTTAGTGGGGAGTTGAGGAAGACCAGGCCGATGAACAGGCAGGTGGCGGTGCAGAGGAGGAGCTTGGAGTAGATGTACGATGGTGTGCGCCAAGTCTGTTGGAATGCGCGCTCCGTCACCACAAGGAACTGGCGCCAGAGGGGTGTCGCAAATTCGTCGTATGAAGAGGAATCGTTGTTGCTGCCACCGGTGGACAAGTCTGGCGGGTTCTTGGAGCGCAGCTGGGCGAGTTCTCTCTGGACAGTGCGGTATTCGGGGCTGGAGCGCCACGTTTCGTGCCAGTCGACCTCTGAATAGCTGCCGGGTACGGTGCCGATAGCCTCAAGCATCCACTCGCCTGGGTTGCCGCCGGGTGGGCAGGGCTTAGCACCATTGCGCTCGAAGTAATCGATGAGGGTTGTTGAACTGTCTCCGATTTCGCCTGGACGGGTATGTTAGCCGCACTCGGTTTGGAGATGACAGTCATAATCTGTTGCTGACCCCCGAGATGGGAACAGGACATACCGAAATAAACAGTCTTGCCCCCCTCAGCAAGCAAGAGCAGGCGATCAAACCGTTGGAATAACATCGCAGAGGGCTGGTGGATGGTGCAAAGGATCGACTGGCCCGCTTTGGAGAGCTTGGTCAGTAAGTCTAGGATAGCCCAGCTGGTCTGGGAGTCGAGGCCCGACGTCGGCTCGTCAATGAAGCAGCTATCCACGCGACGTGCCTATCCCACAATGGGGACAGACGCAAGACACTTAGTCAGTAATTTGCCTGGGGCCACAGTAGTTTGCCTGAGGTCACAACTTACAGAAGCGGTGGTTTAGCAGCCAGCTCGATGCCAATCGTCAGGCGCTTGCGCTGCTCAACGTTCAGGCCTTCCCCTGGCACGCCAATAACAGCATCGGCATACTCCTGCATGTCGAGCAGCTGAATGACCTCGTCGACGTAGGCCAGTTTGTCTGCCTTTGGGACGCTCTCTGACTGGCGAAGGAGAGCGGAGAAACTCAGAGCCTAAACAGAACGGTAGTGGTTAGTTGACTTGCATGCAAAAAGGAGTGCGGCTGCTGGACTTCTGAGAGACTCAACAGACCTTGCACTCACCTCACGAACCGTACTCGTCTCGAGATGCAGATCTTGCTGTTGTGCGTAGCCAGTCTTGCGCTGGAAGCTCTTGTCGCGGAGTTTTCCATCCACCAACATCTCGCCAATGAGGACGCCCACACCGGCGCGGCGATCAGCAAGGCAATCCAACAGCGTGGTCTTGCCAGCTCCAGAAACACCCATTAGGGCCGTCAAGGTTCCAGGCTTCACCCAGCCATCGACATTATCCAGAATGCGGCGAGGCTTGCCCTTGATCTTGATGTCGTAGCACACATTGCTCCAGTGGAACACGCTCGTGGAGCCCTGAAAGCCTCCCTCCTTGCTCAAATCGTAGCCATTGCCCGGCCTCTCCAGCAAACCTGTTACCGCGCCCGAGGCCAACCCCTCAATGTCCTGACGGCGCTTGCTGGCAGGTTTGGGGACGCATCCTCGACGAAAAACAAGGATCTCTCCCTTCGACTTCTTTGCTGTGACGTACTCGCTGGCCACGAAATACACGATATGGTTAAAGATCACCATGGCGATGATGATGCCAACGTTGCGCCACTTATGACTGTGGTAGTAGCTGTACGCTGAGTTGATATACGCATCGCCGCCGACGTAGGATTGACCCGGTACGGCACCGATGGCGTCACAGGCAACGGTTGTCGTACCGGGAGTTCCATAACTGGGGATGTATGATGAACAGGTGAAGTTACGGGAGTGGTACTCGTTCACCATCAGGGCTTCGTAGCCGTACGCGACGGGGTTTAGGTAGTTGATCCACCGACACCACGACAGCATGTAGCGAATCGGGACCACGAAGCCGGTGAAGACGAGCAGAGCAAGCATCAGAATTGAGGCGGGCACCATCGCTTGTTGTTCTGTTCGAGACAGCGCGCCGCTGAAACATGTTAGACACCAAAACCCCTTTGTTCGATGCGCAACTTACATGAATCTGAAGATCCCAGACATGGCCAGAACAATGAGAAAGACCACCAGCAGGTAGAAGAAGAAGTTCCCAGTATGCCGGTTCAGGTTCGTCATGAAATAGAACACCAAGTTGAAGGAAACGGTGCCGGTAATCTTCATGGGCAAGTCAACTAGGACAGAAGCATATGATTCAGCCGAAGGGTGGTAAAAGGCGTAGCGGGCCTGTTTTTCCACAATGGGCCGTTGCGCGTACAGGGTCATGACCTCGAGGATAGAGGCGAAGGCATTGAACAGGATAGCCATGAAGAGAACAACAGCCCGTCCGTAGAATGACGCCGTTGTCTGGCCCATATTGTAGAACAAGGACGACATGATGAGCGCCATAATGACGTTCCCGATCATGACCAGATAGACGGGCCGGGATCTGCCCAAAACCGTCTCCATCCTCGCCACATACAGAGCTGAACCTGCTGAGAGTATGTCAGGGTATATGGCGATTTCAAACGCTGACCCTTGGCCTGGTGCGCCTTCTTGAGCTGTCGATAAGCCAGGGCGTCCGGCCCGTCAATCGGATGCTGAGCCTTGTAATCCTCAATCTCACGCCGTAGAGCCTCGTACTCCGGACTCCCTTTCCAAGCGGCTGCGAACTCAGCGGCCGTCCGCGGTGGGTTGCAGCCAGGACGAGGGATGTGCTCCGCTGGAAAAGCCATGGATGTGAGAAAGTCGGGCGTTGTCTGCCGAGCCGGACACTCAAACCCCAGATTGATGAAGTAGTCCTTGGCCCAGGACGCAGGTCCGAAGTAGATCTGTTGCCCTTCGTAAATGACCAGAGCCTTGTCGAATAGGTTGTAGGCGCTCTGAGGTGCCTGATACATCGATACAGCGCATGTCTGGCCGAATAATTCCGACTGCAGCCGGAGGGTCTTGCAGAACTCAACCGCGTTGGCCGCGTCCAGGCCGCGCGTTGAGCTAGATTTTGGCAGCCAGCAGTCAGCATTTGCTTGTGCACAGCAGAGAAGTCACTTACTTGTCCCAGCACTGGAATGGGGCGTTGGACAGCGTCGCCTCCGCAATCGTGACACGTTTGCGTTCGCCCCCGGAAAGTCCGCGTACGAACTCGTCCCCAACTTTGGTATGAATAGTGTGAGTGATTCCGTACATGGCCATAACGACGTCGCGAAGATGTTCGCAGTATCTATAAAGAAGATGGGCTTAGTGTATCTCAAACTAGGACACTTGAGATGGAAGCAACTTACTGTTTGCGAGTGGTGCCTGCTGGCAGCTCCCTTTGGCAGCGAGCGTACGAGGCAAAGGTCAAGGTCTCGCCAACGGTCAACATGGGAAAGTGGACATCGATCTCAGCAGTATAGATAGCATCGCCTCGATGCGCAGTGTGCATCTGCTTGTCCGAGATGCCTTGATAGTTGAAGTACGAATTCCGGTTGACGTAGATACCATTCCGATCGCCCGAGATGGTTTTCAGAAAGGTCGAGCAACCGGACCCAGGAGGACCCAGGACCACGCACATCTCTCCTGGACGGATGATGCCGTCAAACTGCTGCAGGATCTCCACTCGGGTTTGGCCTGATGTGCTGGTGCTGGGTAAGAGACGACGAGCAATCATTCCCGGCAGGGCTAGCCAGATATTTGCGACAGTCTTCTGAAAGTCCATCGCGCTGCTGTAGCCAAAGACGCTCAAGTCCTGGAAACACAAGCCGACTCGACGGAAGTCCTGACCGCGCTCCTCAGTAATCCTGGCAACATTCTTGGCCCACACTCGTGCATTGAACTTGTGGCCGGATGGGTTCAGTGGGGAATCCGGGTCATCGCTGCCGATGATAGGCTCGCCGGCAGAGTCGTGGGAGCTGTTGCGGGTAAATTCACGGGCGAGCTCCTGCACGGTGGAATGCCGCGACTCCATCGATTTCGGCGGGTCCTTTGCTCCAACATAGCCGTCGTCAGTAAACCCTTCAGTCGCGTGCTCCAGTCGGCTCTGCTGGTTTTGCGTCCCATTGGGCCCGAGATGGGCCAATGCCGTTGCGGTCAACATAATACTCTGGCGACGGTATGAGAACCGAAGCCGGATCTGAGGGCAATCGTGTTGAATGGAAGACACCCAGCCGCCGTGAGAGGAATCACTTTAATAGGCATTCGGACAAGGCCGAGCTGATGAAGATGAGCCGGCAATAGGGGGGAACCATGGGGATCTTGCACGCCGCCAGGCCATGGAATCTCCTTTGTCGTTCACGTCTGTTGCTTGTCCCGCACACTTCGGCCGGAGGACTTCGGCCGAGGCGGAGAAAGTTTGGATCCCATTGTCCAAGTCCAACGGTGTCGGCCGAAGCGGACATCACAAGCCATCATGACGGACATAAGGCTCTATTATTAAACTCTGCGCTCGCCGTCACTGTCTTGATGGGCTTTGGATAAGGTTCAGGGGCCGCTTACGTCCGTTGGAATGACCAGAAGCTCGGAATATTACCCTTTGATCATCCCCCCTCGTATCAGGCTCCATTGGCCGACGGCTCACTGTCCAACATTCGTCTACTCGTTTGGCTTGGCAGCAGGTATGGAATCTCACGCAAAGCCCGAGCTTGTCCAGACTCAAGTCTCAAGTGTCAAGACAAGCCTTCCATGAAAGGGATGTTGTATGGGTCCAACTAGGTTCATTCAAACATTGTAAGGAGAACGGTGAGATGTCATGCTGACAAGGTCTAGTGAATATCATTAACGACGAGCAAAGCTTCAAGGCCAAAAATATACCTCACTTCGCGCTGTCCGAAGGGTCTCATGATCCAGTTGGCTGATTAAGATACCCAGGATCATTAGGCAATGACATATCTATCCAGGGAAAAGGCAATGGAGGGTGCTCTTAGGGATACTGGGCTTGCTCCAGAGGAAGAGCTGAACAGCTGGCCTTCAATCTTTCAACATGGACTGGGAGCTTTACTATACCGTATCTATGGGCACAGATAGCAGTCACAGTCATAAAGTGGCAGATCAGGGTTTGTAAGAGTGGCTATACTGTGGTCAAGATGGCGCACTCCCCGGTCCAGAAGTATGGGGACTTCCCAATGCACGGTGAATGCGCGGAGAACTAGTACTAGTACATTTATTAATACCTCCTTTTTCTATGGTTCTGAGATCTTAGTTACCTACTCTTCCATTTTTTCGTGCTTCTTAACAAGTATCATGTAACATCCATCAGGTCATCTATAAGTGTATCATTCCTAATGGCTGAGATGGCTGCATTATTAATCCATCCCTAAGCATACATATCCTGGCTAGCGTTCCATTAGATGATGGCCGCGTTGTAGGATAGGTATCCTGTGTGTTGGTTAATCTAAATGGCAGTACTTCGGGGACGGCCACGTCCTGGGGTCTGCTCACTGCGCTACAACATGCAAATTTGTGAAATGAAGCGTCCATCCACAAGCGCCAATGCCGCTGAAGCTGACAAGAATGGTAGCGCCAGATATGGCGTAGAGATCAGCGAGTACGCGTTGCCTTTATACTCTGTCTGTAAGCAAGCTTTGGAGACCTACCAGGGACAAAGGATAGATTAATTTGACCGAGACAGTGGGAGATATATGCCGTCCACCTTGACATGTTTCGACATGGCGGCTGTAGTCAAGCGCATCGACGAGTACCTCGGAGCCGCGCCGGACAGTCACCCAACGACTTCACTATCACTAGCGGGAAGAAGGACACGGACGCGGAGGAGGTGAACCTGTACATCATGCGCGACGTCCTCAGTTGGTGGGTTCATTAGGGCGGAGCACTGCGGCCGGGGGACTACTGGAAGCAGATCTACGTCGCCTTCGCTGCCATCCCGGACGATGTCCAGATCCCTCCCAATGCCTTCTTGGATGGCTCGTATCGGTATCTAGGCCACGCTTGGGACGACTGCAGGTAAGGGTTTCTGGACGAGGGCAGGCCGCCGGCGGAGGTCGAGTTCGTCGAGATGTGTCTCTGGCGGCAGATGCTCACCCAGTACTTTGAGAAGGTGGACCCGGAGGTATACCGGCTGCTCAAAGCCAAGACCACGCTTATGATGCAGTACCGGGTGCACACGGGCAACACGCTCGGGTGTGCGGCGCTGATCCTGGAGACCGAGGGCCTGGTGTCCAGAGGAGTGGAGGACAACGCGCTCGAGGCAGCGTCCATAGCGCAGTCTCTGAGCATGGACATGGCCAAGGAGGCGCGCTGGGGATCCTGCGGGGCGAAACGACGGAGACGGTGGCGGGAAATAGGGTACAGCTCAAGAGGGAGCTGCGCTGGGTTTATGTGCGCTGCATGGAGTATCTGGGGACGCTGCCCAACGCGCACTTGCTGAGGCGCTTTGCTTCCTTGGGGCTCCATTATGTTCCCATGATGGACCGGTATCTCGACCGTGTGCGTGGCAACACCCGGTTCCCCATCACGAGGGCCAAGGCGCGCATCCTCGAGCCGTTCATCAACCGAGCATACGTCCGTGAGGGATTGAATCCCGATGGACTGCTTTTCAACAAGATGGATGGGATTGTGGCGATCAAGGTGGCTGGGGTAAATCGGTTTAACAGGGTGAATGGGGTGAATGGAAGCATCCCTCAAGTAGTTTTATTTCTTGCCATCCTTGATACATGATTTAACTCGAATGCTTTTGTTTTACAGGTTTCGTACCTACAGTAGTAACAGTCCTGGCCTCACAGAGAAACCATGGCTACCTGCAATGTATTTCCGTATGAGCGAGGTCAACTTACACCAGCCCAGGTTGTCTGCACCATGTTCAAGCCCGGTCCAATGACCAGGGGGGTTTGCAGGATTAGCACTTGGGTTCTCCGGACGTATAGCCATATTAGGCAGTCCAGTGACTCCAGTCCGCTGCTTCGGCCGAGCGGCTTTAAGAGACGGACATATGCCGCTTCGGCTTCTTCCTTAATGTCCGAGACCTGTCTCAGGCCATGACTGCGTCAGACCATAGTGCGCGCACACCTTTCCAACATTTCCCCTCTGCCATTGTTATGGTGACATGATTCGGCCGAATAAAACACACAGAGAAGATTGTCTTGTTTCAACCATTTACGACTGCTATGGAGAGTCAGCCACACCCACAGCCGCAGCCACGGAGACCCCAGCGCCGACGCCGAAGACCAGCACTCTCTTGTCGGGAATGCCGTCGCCGCAAGATCAAGTGCGATCACAATAACCCTTGCGCGCACTGTTTGCGTCACAAGACCCGATGTGTATACAAGCCCTATACAGATGGCCTTGATGACAGGGCCATCCCCCGGACTAACCAGCAGCATGATTTACCCGCCAATTCACCGCTGCGCCAAACTGCAAGCCCCCCGCCGTCAGACAGCTCGGCTCCCCGACAGCTCGCTCAGGCTGGGGACAGGGACTCGGATAACATCAACGGATCCATCTCCGTGCCTCTCCAGGGCAGCAACTCATCCACACCCTGCGGCACACCACTGGCAGCGGCAACCGCGGCGCAGACGGTCTCCATACGGGCTCCTCTTGGCCGCAGTGACCTGCGACAACCACTGCCGGACCAGGGCCCGGTTGGGGAAGCCACTTTCCGTGATCTTCTGTTTCGGATACAGCGGCTGGAAGAATCTTCAGCAGGCGGATCTCGAATCAGCGACAGTCCTCTCCACGGGGCCAATGCACGATCCGAGGCGAGCGCGGTCTCTTTGGCACCTCCGCTGCCGGCCGGGTCGCAAGAGTGGCAAGCTGTCCTGAACAAGTCCAGGGATTGGGGCCGGAGTCGTTGGATGGGCGGGGCTAATGAATTCACCGCCATCATTGCCTGCTACAGTGAGATCATGGGCAAGAGTAGCAAGGACGGCTCATTTCAAGGCCCCGAGGCCTCTGCGCTGATCTCCCAGGCCGGTGACTTCCTCCGGAAATGCAAGAACAGAGCGAGGAGCATCAAGACCAGCCGGCCTACCAGAGGTCTCCCGTCGCCGGGCTTCGGAAATGCCCCCCCTTCCCGGGAGATGGCCGATGCCATGGCCAACCTCTACTTGGAATCATTTGAATCGACGTATGTACCTATCACCGAGGGGGTTTTCTGGGGGCTACTAACGCTGAGAGACATTTCAGGTATCGGATACTTCACCTCCCTACCTTCTGGGTCGAGTACCAAAGATATTGGGACAACCCTGAAGGTGTTGCACCTAGTCTACGCCTCAAGGTTCTCCTCGTCATTGGCATAGGATCAAGTCTGTATAATTATGAAGACAGAGCTGCAGCTCTTCGCAATATAGATTTGGTTCAGCAATGGATCTACGCTGCTCAAACCTGGCTGTCCGGGCCGTTGGAAAAGGACCGCCTGGACATCTCTGGGCTGCAGATATACTGCTTGAGTATCCTGGCCCGGCAGACCTTCTCAATCGGCGGCGATACGATATGGATCTCGATCGGATCGCTCATCCACAGCGCCATGCAACTCGGGTTGCACCGGGACCCCAAGTATCTCCAAGCTATATCGGTGCTGCAGGCCGAACTGCGCCGGAGGCTTTGGTATACTATTCTTGAATTCATCGTCCAGTCGTCCCTGGATTCGTGGATGCCGCCGAGGATCTCCTTTGATGAATTCGATACCGAGCCGCCCTCCAATATCAACGACGATGTGCTCGACGAGTCAACGACCGAACTCCAGTCATGCCCAAAGGGGATCTTGACCGCAACGTCCGTCCAGCTCGCCTTAATCGACACGCTGTCCGTCCGCCTGCAGATCGTGCAGCTCCTCAACGGCCTCCATTCCGAACTCTCTTACGACCGTGTCCTCTCGCTAAGCTCGGATCTGATCGACGCGCTTCAGGCCTGCAGTCGCTGGGTGAAGGATGGCGACGGGTCAACCCCGTTCCACCGGAACCTGCTGGACTACTTGATCCGCCGGTTCATGATCCCCCTGCACTACTCCTTCAGCAACCAGGCGCGCACCAACCCGCTCTTCCACTACTCGCTCAAGCTCAGCCTCGACGCCGCCCTCGCCATGGTCTCTCCGGAGCCGGACCACGGCTTTGCCCGGCTGATGGCCACCGGCGGTGGGGTCTTTCGGGAGGGGGTGCGATGCGCCACCTCGGCCATCAGCCTCGAGCTGCTCGCGCACGTCGAAACCCAGCGCCTCAACGGCACACTGCACCGGACCCGCCAGTACCGGGACTTCCTCAAACAGGCCGTCCGCGACCTCATCTCGCTGTCGGAGGAACGCATCCGCCAGGGCGAGACGAACGTGAAGAACCACATGTTTCTGAGCATGATCCTCGCGCAGGCCGAAGCGGTGGAGGCGGGCGTCTCGGTTGAGTTGCGGGTTGGCCGCGCCGCGAGGGATAGCTTGGAGCTGTGCAATACTCTGCTGAAGATGAGGGAGGATACCGGGTCCATGCCGTCGCCTGACGATGCGGGACTGGGGGCGGCGGGGATGGAAGGGGGCCAGGGGATGGGCTTGGAAGGGTTTGGACCAGCCTTTGGGTGGGAGTCTTTCTTTCCGGACGTGGGCCTTGGTCATTGCTGGGGGTTTGGGAACTTGGATAGTTAGCCTATCGTCGGTCTGGTCCTTTGCTTTGGTTTCAGGGGTGTTTTGGTTATCCTGTCTTTTTCTTATCCAGTCACATGTAAACCCAGACTGAACTATACAGAAGAGAGTTTCATAGTGTATCTATTGCTCGCAAATCTGAGAAATACTTCTCTACTCATTCAAGAAAGCCCATCTCCTTCCAAGTCTGAACCAACCGTCGAATCAATCTCTCACTCACCGGTCCCAACTTCGCCAACGTAGGCGAATGCTCCCTCGCCCTGGCCGTTCCCATCAACAGGCCCCCACAACTCATCCGGATGAAATTGCTATCCAAGAAATCAAGTAGCAGGTACTAAGATTAGGGCAGGTAACCTAGCAGGAATTAGGGTAGGGAGATACTAAGCAGCAACCTAGACCCCAAGATTATCTAGTAAGAGAAGTGGTGCGGCCTTTATAGGAAGCAGTGCACCCAGCAAAGCCGACTAGGTAAGCTAACCATAAGAGGTACACCCTAGTTTCGCAGCTACGCCAGCGGATTGGGATGCTGTGATAGGCACAGTCAGATGTAGCGCAATAAGATAAACGGAATGATACCTGGATTGCCCTTACCTAATGGCTAGGGAAGGCAGTCGTGGCCTGATGCAGTGGTCGGAATGGGGGGGGCCCCGCAGGCATAGGGAGGCGTCCCAACCAGGACTGTGAGATCTGTCTAGTAGCCTTGGTACACTAATGTACTGGGGGTTAGCCGTATAGTGGTAGTGCGCAGTGTGATAGGTTGGTTCAAGGCAATCGACTTTTAGTATATGGTATGAAAAGGAGTGAGACTTTTATGTTTTTTAATAATCTCCTCAAAGGAACTTAAGTCTTAACTAGACTAACACTATTAAATAACAAAATATAAAAAAATGAAAGTGGTGTCAACACTTGACCATAAAGTGCTCTGCCTAGCATGCCGGAGACAATAAATTCGATGGGACTAAGAGTTGTAATCAATGATCTCGTTGCAGGGGAAATAGTAAGGAACCTCATCGTGGCTTGACGACCCTCTCCAGTACCAATAGTTCTCACGAGCTTCCCAGTAGCGGCACATGGGGATATCAACGTAACCAGGGGCGCTGACGTCCGACTTGCCAATACCAGCAAAGGTGTTGCTATAGTTGGTGCTGTTCCATATGCTCTGGGACTCGTCGGAATTGGAATTCTTTCAGTTGGCGTTGTAGGTATTGACGGCACTGCCGATGGTTAGCAGATTGGTCAAATAATGAGTACAAGAAGGGAGCGTACCCTGCAACAATGTCTTCGATCGTAATGTTGCCCCAGAATGAGCCGTCAAGAGCGTCAGTGCCAGGAGGTGGACGGAACGCGTGGCAATAATGGCCCAAGCCTTCATGGGGGCTGTCGACACAGTTGTGCCTCGGTTTTGTAGCAGTTACAAGAGAATACATTCGATCATTTATGCACACCCGCGAGGTGTCGTAGTCTGTCAGAGCACGAGAGCCAAAACCTTCCGGGTTTGTGTCTTTCGACTCCTGGTCGAGGGCGTCTTCGCAATTCATCGTCGAGTCAATCACACTAGATATTGACAACGGGTGAGTACGCGGGTACCCTCGAGACGATTCAACTACTGCAGAGACTTACAAAGGATTTATATCGCCGATTGCGAGACGCCAGGCCTGTGGGATGAGCGATAGCGTAGAGTGACCTTTCTACCGAGGCCTTGAGGTCGGTTATGGGCAATAATTGGGTATCGTTGGGAAGGAGGAATGTTCCCCCAGCGATCATTTTCCCCAATTGGCTTATTCCATCGCTGGTCCCGGAGAATAGGCTGGACTGCATCTTTCCCGTGGCATTATCCCAGGCTTCGATTATAGTCACGACCTGGTGCTTGAGTTCCTCGTTGACGACATACTCTTCTGGTTTACTATTATGCGATGAAATGTGTCAGCTCTTTACGAAAGCCAAACAGTTGTGTGTTGAGATGGATAGGCACTCGACAAGGTCTTTTATTTTTTCAAAAGCCGAGTCCGCCATCTCATCAGCGTACTCTTGTGCATTCGAGAAGACTTCATTTGCTTTATCATCATCAATCTTTTGCATGACTGAACAGGTGTTGTTAGCTGTGTGGGATGGATGAGCTCTCAGATTAGCAACTTACCCTTTTCCCACTCACCAAGGTGCGATACTGGGCGTTGACGGCCGGGCGATTCGCCTCCCCGGTGGGGTCTTTGCAGGGGATGAGAGTCGACAGGAGAACGGTCACGCCGCTGATTGACTGGAATATATCCTCGATGGGCACCCTCATCCGCTCGCCGGCACCCGCAATATCGCGGTTTTGCAGACAGTCGTTGGTGCCCGCGTTGATCAGGACGACGTTGGGATTGTATCTGTATGAGCCTCGAGCGGCGGTGTGCACCTGATCGATAACGCCTCCTGGGCGAGCTTCCACGTCCTGATGGGATGTTAGTGTTCGCTCTCGCCGTTGGTAGGTCATGCCAAAAGGACGTACATTGTCGGCCATGTCTCCATTATGCTTGGTCCCAACCATATCAACCTCGTATCCTTCAAAGCGAAGTTTATCGCTCAAGGGTTTCCGGTAACTGTGATATCAGAAATGTCTCCAATCCGAGGAGTGGAGGATCATACCCGTTGCCAGTTGACGAGCCCACACCCCACGTAATCGAGGCACCAAGGCATAATATCCTCAAATCCACCTTGGCATCCCGGCTATGCAGAGTCGGAGCTAGATACGAGCCGTGTAGTGTCGAACGCAATTCACCAACTGCATCAGGGGTAGAATTCGAAGAGATGACAGCGATCGCCTGCACCCAAATACCGCATAGCACGAGCACAAGGTAACTGAAACCCCGAGCCATGGAGAATCTAAAGTTGGCAGTACTGCGCGATGCTCAAAGCCTTGCCTTCTGAAGCTCCGGGCAGGTGGGTGCCGCTCCTTTATGCGAATGTGATATCCCATCTTAATCCTTCACCCATAATCTCCGGACGGTGGAGTACACTACCTATTCCCGCCAATTCCGACTAGCTAGTTCAGTCGGCATAGGAATTTCCTAACTGTGAATGATACTCCTTCACCTACACTACCTAATCCAGCCTAGCACTATATACTCGCCTTTCTGCTCACATGTAAGATAACTTCATCTCTCTTAGATAGCTACTTAATCAAGTCATCTATTCCGTACTCACACTAACAAGGAAGTTCTACATTAATACAACTAAAATAGATACATCTCTTCTCCCTGAACCAACAAAAAACCCATTGGTCCGTTTCAATCGGTATAGCTGTCTCCGGGCTAAACTGGCCAGTCACGGTCAGTGGCTCAGGCACAGATCAATCTGCCACTGGATGACAAATTCAGGGACCCGACTCAGTTTAGGGACCGTTTTACAAGACCATTTAATCTATCTAGCTTAGTAGTTATCAAGTTGGGTTTACAGGCCAATCAGATCAGTAGCACTTCCAACGCAGGATCTGGCGTCCTTAGGATATTGATAATTGGACGCCTGGAGGCTGAGAAGAGTGTCACGAGGCTAGAGCAGTCCGGTTGTTTTTGACACGGTTCCGATAAGCCCTAGTCCAAGCGTGTAGATATCCTATTCCCGTGTTGGAGTATTACTGCCAGGTTTCCTCCCAGTTTACTATCAGGCGGACGGGCAAGAGCGCCCCTAAGATCTTGGCATTGGCACTGAGGCATTGCTTCAGGCCCCCAGCGTTACATTTAGCTGGCTTCGCGGGCCGGTCTATTGGCGGGCTATATTTGCGCGTAGCAGTCTCCTGACTCATTGTAGCTCTCTTTCTAGCTGCTAACATAGGCCTTGAATCGACGAGTTGGGTATTGCTGCGGTAAGTAGACTTCGATTGCACGAGAATCTCTCACGCTCTAATCTAGACTACGGTTTGGAATATTTCCTGTACTAGCTTACTTCCCATTCTGATGAGCCCGGCTCTTTGTGGATATGCCCAAAACTTCGGGATATTGAATTCCATCCGGGTTCAGCTTGATTAGCTTTGCACATAGTTGCTAACTACCTTATATTATTTCACTCTAGCTCCCAATGGTGGACTATACTCCGTACTTCCCAACTCTACTCTCTATATTCACCACGTGCCTATTTTCTTTGGATAGGTAAGCCCTACTGCCGGAAAGCGCCGCATTCCTTGGATACTAGGCCTAGGCTGCTTATCAGCGCAGTGCGATATCAGGCCGTGGAGGATTGATCCATAAAGAAGCAAGCGTAAGCGAATAACGCCGGATGAAAACACCCTAATGAAAAATGTGGTTAACATTGCGGAGCAGTAGGACATTCGCCTTCATCAAAGTGAAAGGAAAAAGGAATAGGCAAGCCACTTCGGCCATCGAACGTATCATGGGCACTTGGTCCCTGAGCATGCGCCAGGGGGCCTGAAATCTCGGCAGCTTCATATCGATGCGATGGGTATCTATTTATGTACAAAGTATATATAACGGGTCTTATCCGCATTGCCGCTAAATCGGCACTCGATTTGCCTAAACCAATCCGTCACAACTGCGCACCATACACCACAGTTCCCTTCCTCGATGCATAATTTAACTTCAACCAGGTAGGAGGCCGACGCGCACAGTTAGTTAGTTGGCATGGTTCCTCAGCCACACAATAAAGTGTGTATTAAATAAGGAGAGATCTTAGATAATGGTATGTGGCGATATTTCCCGCGAACTGTAAATCGTTTATTCAAATCACCATTTATCCATTCTCAGGTCCACCCACACCTATGGAGACTCGCCAAGTCTCCATTCGTCTTGTATCGCATCGAGATCCCCCATGATATGATATCCCTCAGCATGATGGACAGCCTGCTGCATGTAGGCTCATTCCCTATGAAACTCCTCCCGCAGGTTCAGTGCATCAGCCATGGACATAGGCCATAACTCTCTATAATCAAGAATCAGCCTGCACAAGTTCCGCTGGAAGTCGTATACCTAATCTAGTAGCCATGCGCGCCACCTTGGCCCACTAGGCATGCTGCTGCGGGGGCACATTGCAGGTTGAGCAGATGCAGTAGTAGGGGTCCACAAGCCACAGCTTAATTAACATATGGTGGCCGGCGCGCTGGGGATCTTATAAGGTGAAGTTATAAGCCTTAGATTATAGGGTGTTTGGCCAGCTGAGAAGTCGGCCTTTGCAGGCAGGCATAGAACCCGGAGTATGCACCACATACAAAGGCGGATCTCCTTCAGCATAGTCCCAATTTGGCAAATCCAAAATTGATGACATAACATAGCTATTAGAATAGTTTCCTCATACCAGTGGACCTTATCCCTATGTTTAAAAGTGAACTAAGTTTTAGTTATGTTCTCCTCCGATGGTTACAGATGTCCGGGACTTAAACAGGGTGGGGAATCAAGCTCGAAGGATGCGGATATTAATTTTTATGATAACAGGGAAGGCTGTCCAGAGCTGGCAGAAGCATCAGGGTCCGCGCATACACAATATATTGTTGTGAAGATGAATGTAACCCTTTTTGAGACTACTAGCCATGCCGAGGAGCGTGGGACAGATCAAGGACGCTTGGAGTCCAGCCACTAGGCCAATCAGCGCTTACAAGTTCTCCCTTACTTCAATAACTGGCGGTTTATGAGCACGGATAGGGCTTGGGGGTCACCGAAGTTACACCAAAGAATCGTCCGAGCTGAGCTGGTCGGGCCCGATCCAAGAATGAAACGGTCCCAGAGCTATCTAGAAAGGTTCCAGAAGATTACCTCGTATTGAGGGAGAGAAAGACTAACATCAGGGACATAAACCCCATAGAACCTACGCTATTCACTCCTGGGAATTAGGAGTCCCTCGCCTCACCTACACACGTTTAAAATTGGGTCACCAGTATTAAGCCCAGCAATTGTCAACTTCGTACAAGACGTAGCGCAAGGAAACAAAAGAAAAGTCGCTCCAGCCACCCTGCGTGGAAACGCGCCTGTCCACCCCGCATAAATGAAATTCCAGTGATCTATACGAAGCCCAGAGCCCCAGACTGAGTCATTCATGACTCACTCTACGAGCAAAAAGTCGACATAAATAGACTTCCCTCAGTCAAATGCTCTATAGACACACCCAGTCTATCCGAACAAAAAACCTGTCTTGGCAGCCACTACCTTCAAGAATGATCGTACAGGTTATACTTCTATCCGGCAGATCTGGTGTCGGGAAAACTTCCATCGCAAACGAGATGTCCGAACTGCTAAAAATTCGCGATATCCCTCATGCCCATATCGATGGAGATAATCTAGATATGGTATATCCTGAAGAGGAGGGCCCCGAGTTGCTACTCCTCAACCTTGAATCGATGTTCGGAAACTATTATCGTCACCGAGGATGCAGCAAACTCATCCTATCAGGAACTGCAATGGCTCTGGAGTATGAATCTATCCAAAAAACTCTTCGAGCTGTCATCAAAAATTCTCTTCAATTCCCGCGGGACACAGAACCTGCTATTGATCTCAGGGGGTTCATCTTGACAGCGACCGACAATACAGCCTCAGAGAGGCTACGGAAGAGAGAGATAGGCAGTTTACTAGATCATCATTTGGCGAGTAGCCTCCGAATGGCATCGGTACTGGAGAAGGAGGTCGGGGGATGGGCTTGTCGAATTTCGACGGATGGTCGGACCGTGAAGGACGTCGCGGTGCAGATTTTGGAGCAAGCAAACTGGAGCTAGAGTTCTCTTCTTCCATGTAGATGCCAAAGATACCAAGGATACCGTATAGCCTCTATCCCCTAGGGCTGCCCAACCTGCAGAAAATCCTGGCCTTAACCCTGTGCCTAGCGGCCCCCCGCCCCTGTTTGATCTGGGGAAGGGCATCAATTATTGGTATGCGTAGGACCTATTCCTCAACGATTTCAAGGAGTACGGAGGATTCGGACGAAGGTCCTCTATTTACTATGTATATGATAACGTCAATGGATTTGGCACATGATTCACAGTTTCCTCAGTTTGATAAACAGCTGTAAATCAGTAGAAGACAAGCAGAGCGTACTAGGTTAAAGTGGAAAAGCTGGAGTTTTGAGTACACGAGGAAACCTGCTGAGCCGTTGGGGCTTTGAATCTGCGCTGGAGCGATTCATAGAATTGTGATAGGCCATGCTGTTCTCGTCTAATATTCTAATCAGGCGGGCATAGTCGCTTTCCAACTCGTTGAGACGCGTCTCGTGATTATCTTCAAGAGGAGAATAGATTTCAAATATATTTGTGCACTCTTCTTCTGCGCTGGCATACTCTGGAGGCCATTGCGGAAACCAGCGCAAGTTTTCGCCCGTTTTCAGCGTAATCATCTCCAGAACGGACGGTCCTCTGAGTTCAAAGAACCGTTTTGCAAAGTCTTGCGCCTTTGACTTTGTCAAAACTCGCGCAAACTCCTGCTCCATTGAATGATAATCTTTTGCACGAGCGATACCTAGTCCGACATGAATGGAAAATCGTCGAAGATTCTTGAAGCTGGTTGCTATGACACTGACAATATCGTCGGGCTAAACAGACAAAGATCAACTCCAGCAGCGGAAGGGATCCAGGTCACGACTTACCCATGTGCCATTCGGATCCAAATCAATTTCCAAGGTCGTAAGCTTGGGGCAATGCTGATTTAAATCTTTCAGCTGCTCAACGTCCAGAGTCTCCCTTTCCCTATCAGGTTCTTCGATCGTATGTAAGCAAATATGCTTCAGGTTGGATTGATGAACCACAGAAGATAATGAAGGGACCGCTCCTTTAGCGGTCAGACTTTCCAGAGTATCAAATGAGCACAAAAAGGCATCAAGTTCAGCTGACGAGCTCAAACGATCGTAGCTAGTAATTTGAAATTCTTTCAAATTGACCACCTTTCCCGTGGCTAGCTCCAAGAGCCTCGGGGTAGATGGTGGTAGCTGGACGCCAAGACTGAGAGAGTGTAGTCTGTCCCAAGGGAACCTATCTCGCCAGAGAGCAAGTTCATCTCCTTGGAAAGGATAACCACTCAGTGAGAGGCTTTTAAGCGGTGGGAATGTTGCTTCTTCGGATAGAACAAGCTCCAGTATCCTGGTAGGAGAGGGCGGGCCACCCAGCACGCAGCCTCCTCGCAGCCAATTGATAGATACTGATAGTTCTTCAAGATTCGGAAAGGCATTGAAAAGCTCATGCAAAGCCAACCTCTGCGGCTCCCACACGCGGACCCCGGATCTATGTGTCTCCGGACGGTCTCTGGGAGCTTCAGCTTGGGCATCTACAGAAGTATGCAGTTTCTGCACAAAGGGCATCTTAATGTTGACCCTAGTTCTGCCATCTTCTCCCAGGAGATGAAGCTTCGGAGATTTTTTATGGCTGAGAAGGGCATTCACAAACCTATCTGTTATTGGAAGCTTGTTCTGGAAGCTATATCCGAATTTTAGCACATCCCGATCAACCGTGTAGAGGATGAAAAAGGTCAGTCTGCAACCTACACTATGGCCTCTAAATTTGGCAGTTTACTTACCAGAGTAGCGAGAGCATCGTTGGGCGGCTGCAGCTTTCGCCAAACACGATCTACTGTTCTCATGTTGTTCATTTTATCAAAAACAATTTCATGCACAAATCCCCGTAATATATCATTATTGTCGTCCAGAAGCCTGCACAAGAGGCCAAAGGAAAGATTATCGGCCTCATCTTGTGTCTCTACGTCTTCATCATCGGGTAACTTGGACCAGTGACTTCCGTCGATATGCGGGTCGCGGAAAATAAGTGACCGGTACAAGAGAGGGGTTGCGATTGCATCAAATAATCGGCATACACTGCACACATTTCTGAGATCGTTCCTGGTAGCTAACTGTATGGCATTTCAGCATAGGTCAGATTCTAGAGCATGCATCAGAAAAGAACCTAGTATGAAGCGTACAAATTGGAAGACCAGATACCATATCTCTGGTATCATAATGGGCGCACCCATGGCTTGGAATGTTCTTTGCTCCAAGCTAAAGCTGAGCGAAGTTTCGTGCAAAAGGTAGAACGTGAGATCAAGCAGGTTTCTTGTAGGGGTAGTGGGGGCTATTTAGGGGTCTCAGGCCAGTCAGTTGTTGTTGGAGTCGCAATCAACCGCGACTTCAAGAACGGGATGGGCGAGACCAAAAGAGACGGCGACCTTGAGTTTGATAATATCTTCGTAGGGGTCGGCACAGATAATGGATATATTCGCATGCCTTACGAATATTCGTAGCTTTAGTCACGTGATGAAAAATGTAGTTAGAAATAAATGTTGATTATGATATACTGGTTGTTCAGCGTGCTTTATATATTGCTTGAAAACAGTATTAGTGGTCTACGTTCCACAAATGACTGGAGAACTGGCTTATATCACATGATACAGACCGTCACTATTGGCTGCCGCGCTTTTATGTAAATGTCTTGGCAACATTGCGAATTAGTGGTTATATTCGTAGAGGTTTGTGTATTACGAATGCGAGTGCGAATGCGAATATCTCAAAGTCCTACAGATTGGGGGGGAATAGATCGTTGGTGCCGAGTATGGAATGTACTCGACGAGGTGGTACCATCAGCTCAATTGGATACATAGGCCATCAGAACCATGGCGATCTTGCGGACTTTCTGTTGGTTCTTATTGATAGGATCATAAATCTGACGGGAGTCTTGTGACTATAGTATGGTGTTCACTATGTGAAGTGCTAGGTGTGCATCCTAAAGCTTGCTTATTCAGCGAGGGGAGCAAAGTTACTGAATTAGGATAATAAGAGATGGTGCTCATTATCACTCTTGATAACTCAGATGGACACCCGTATTTGAGGATTTATGCGTGGGTTACTTGGATCTCGAGGTAGTGTATCCCTGATGGGAAATAGGACTGTGACTGAGGAATAGGTAGTTGCACTCTACTGAATACAAAGTCCAGTCTTAGCTGACTGGTACGCCGGGATGGCTCCTGGAAAGAAGCGAATCAGTCTCACCGCACATTGATACTGTAATAAATACGGTAGAGATTATTGCGTCATTCCTGACAATATTCGTTTGCAGCAGTTTTAGTACTCGTTAAGGGAGTAACGAGGTACTTCGATCACTGAATAATGACCCAGGTAACCCAGTCATTGGGAATAGTTGTGGCCAGATTACTGTGTTTGCGTGGGCGTAGTGAGAGAAAGGAGTGTTAATATAATAGTTATAACAGGGCTACTTAGGACGAACAAATCAAAGATTAGAGGGCAAGGGATGGCTTGAATGGATGACAACTAGGTAAAAGAGTGGGTGTAATGGTTACTGAAAGCTACACAACCGAGTACTTTAGTGTTCTGTTCATATCTGCCCTCTGTTTGCCTAATGAAACCCCCACAAACCGAAGGAAAAGTTCTCATCTGTCGCAAGAAGCCGGAACAAACTCACATATAGCAAGCAGGTGGCGGCCAAATCCCATTTGCATCTTTCGACCGAGCCGCTACTCTGTAAAGCATCTCTAGCTTAGATGTATAGTAATATAGCTAATATCTTACTTCTGGCAGAGGAAGATCTTGCTGCATAAGATGAGCAAATAATATCAGTATAATATATTTAATATACACCTTGAGTGGTCTTACTGTCTTACCTGGTTCTAAAAGCTAAATAAAGGTCTTACAGCATTACCAGATTGTACAGCATCCTCATCTACATAGAGAAAGGCATCTAATTACAGGCCCTCAGGTAACTTACCTCTATCATGCATGGAAAGAAACTAAGATTGAAGAGTAGTAATATTATTGCTATCATCATTAATAATACCAGCCTCCATATAATGAAGAGTAAACTTTGCTAGGACCTCCTTATTTATAGCCTGTGCCTAAAAATATAGTCTATAATAAATAGCTGTTTTGATACATTCCTTAAATAATAGCTACTAAGGCATATTTTTTAAAAAAGAAGACCAGAAGCCTATAGACTACTATCTGGTTTAGGGATAGAATATGCTCCTGCCATGGCATATATAAGTAAACTAGAGATTCTAGATATTATTATTACTTAGGGATTTTAATGCCTTGCAATTCACATCTCCCTATCTTTTTATAATAATATAGGCGCTCTTCTGCGCATATTTCATCTCTTCTATAGTAATAGTAGTAATAGCTCTCTGCATAAGTTTGTAATTAGCAGCACTAAGCCATGCTACTTTATACTAGTCTCTTATTTTAGCTGGAATTAACACCAATGACTAGTATAGCAGATTCTTTATATATTAGGGAGTCTCTGTTCTGGATGGCCTTTCTGACTAGTTTAGACAGGCTTTATCCATAGACCCTGCGACAGAGAGCGTCCTCCTCTTCTGGGGGTAGGCAGTAGGTAATTTTTCTTCGCTCTTGGTCTGTAAGGGAGATTGGATTGGTATATAGCTTAATTATAAAGAGTATAAGTGGCTTTATCTAAAGTAAGAGGGGCCATCTCAATGTTGAGTACGACGTCTCTGTCAAACAGTAGGATAGGTCTGGACATGCTGATGCTTTCTTATGTGGTGACTGTGTGGTTCGATGTTAAGTTGTCTTGCAAACACATCACAGAATAACTAAGTTAACAGTTAGTGTATCAACCACTAAGCAGCACACCCAGTCCAGAGCCACCCATAAATTAATTCCCTTCCAGATATCGATATGTTTTAACGACGTCTGAGTTACGTGTTGGCACCCATGCTTCCTATACCTATTCAAGGATTAGAATACTTTTCTCCATCACCTGTTCATTCTCTCAAGATGTTTTCTCGACATGTTTTTCATCCTTTAGTAATACTGATCATTACTGATCAATTTCCCTGAAAGCATGCACGTGAGATCATTGTGCCCCTTGGTCATTAGCCGCTGTGTCTCAGCTCCACCTCAGCAGTCTTCCCTCCTTACTAATCATCTATACATACCTAGCTGACTTCTGTCTACAGAGGTCTGGAGTGCACTTCTGCCACCCATTGTAGTCTCCTAACCACAGGAGTACATATCTTTCAGTTCTACGTGTTCTGTATATCTAAGAAGCTATACCTATACTAATTTAAATTTAGTGAGCATTAGTTCTGATTTCTGCAGTTCAGTTATGCAGCAAGCACTACTATCTAGATAGTGTTCAATGGATGATCATGGTATATAGCCCAAGCTACATCACAATTGTAAAGCCAGAGACAATCAATAGTCATATAACAAGACCATCTCGAAATGTGTTTGCTCATTTTATACTCCCTCCGAGATGCAGGAGCAGTCTGGAATTTAAAAAAATATATTTGTGGTCAGCTCCAATACTAGAACTCACATATTATGCATTGAGTCCTATAATACAGAGTAGTAGTTTATGCCAACTAAGAATTCCAGATGGGAGGGCAACTTTTAGTACCATGGTTGCACCATGAGACTGCTGAAATGCAGATGCGCCGTGCAATAACCGCATCCATCCATGGCTTGGCTATCCCGAGTCTAGAACACATACATGCATCACCTTTGGGACGAACTGGGTCATATGCAGCTAGTGAATCAGCGCCAAGTAACTCAAAGAGTCAAACAATAAGCACTAAAATGACACTAGAAAAAGGGAACCCGTTGCTGCCATCCAAAACATTATATTAGTTTCCTGTTCGACCTCGGACAGCATTATCTCTGACTTTTGGCGCACATGCTCCCCTTTAAAAAGTGGAGAGTTCCTTTCGACCCACGCGATCCAAACAATTTCCTAACTCGCTACTTGTCTGCTCTCATTTATCTCAGTTGTTTTGGACTTATTGCCTGAACCACTTTCATACCTTTCATGTCAATCATGCCAGACAAGCAAAATGTCGCAGCATGGCTCCCTCGTGTTGGGGTAAAGCTAGAGCTTGGTCCGGCCCCGATGCATGAGCCTGGCGATGATGAGTTACTCATCCAGGTAGGAGATGATGCGCATATGTAAATCTGAACACAGTCTTCAAGTTTAATATGTTATAGACCAAAGCTGTGGCCATTCAACCAGCGGAATATAAAATACAGGATGGTGTTCTTCCGTTTCCCTTGTCGTACCCTACAGTTATAGGATGTTCGTGAACCAAGGCCCACTCGTCCGACCTAATACATCTTGAGCACGTCAATAAGCTGATCACGTAGCAGTGTGCTTTTCAGGAATAGTCGTTCAAACAGGCCCTGGTGTGACGCGTTTCCACATCGGAGACCGAGTTGTCACCAATAGCGCAGGAACTCTGCGCAATGATGCCCGGTTCGGGGCCCTGCAGCGCTTCGCTTTGACTACGCAGCAACTTACGGCGAAGGTTTTGCTCTCCTTCTTATGCAGATCCCCTGTGTGGTTGACCATTGGTGATTTAATCATTTTTGAACTAGATTGGTGAGGCATCTTTCGAGAAAGCCGCTGCTCTCGCCTCCAACTTGTATGGTGCAATGAGTGCGCTTGTCTTGCACTTGCACCTGGACAAGCCTTCCGCCACGCCTGATCCATCCAATAAGACCAAGAAGGTTCTAATCTGGGGTGCATCCTCTTCATTCGGTGCAAATGCCGTCCAAATTGCAGCTAGTGCAGGGTACACGGTTGTGGGTGTTGCATCTGCTTCGAACGCCAGTTTAGTCAAATCTTTGGGAGCTACTGAGTTTGTGGACAGGACGCAGGCTTCTGCGGCTGAGGATTTGATTGAAATTGGTCCCTTCCATGCCGTCCTTGCCGCTGCGGACTCAGCGAAGGACCAGGTGGTGATCGGAACGGTCTTGGCTGCTCAAGGCGGGGGTACGTTTTTATCCACAATGGGTGTGAGAGAAGGCGTAAAGCTGCCAGATGGGGTTAGGGGCGTCTTTGCCCAGTTTTTGGACGACTATCTCGATCCCAGAAATGCCGATTTCACTAGCTGGGTATGGTGGGAGTATCTAGAGGAGGCGGTCGCAAAGGACCAAATCCAGGCACTCCCGACCAGGATCATGGGGGGGTTGAGCAACACACAGAAAGCTTGGGATCTCCTCAGACAGGGCAAGACTAGTGCTGAAAGATTAATCATTCAGCCAAATGCCGAGTAGACACAGTTTATTCTATGGAGTCCTCTGAATTAATCTGATGTAAAGGCTGAACTGTTAGAAGGGCTTGCACTTCTTATTCTTCTTGGGATTAATTTTCCGTGGAATCATAAGGGTAACCAAGTACAGATGACGAGGCTCTACAGATATGTGTTTCTTCGCCGTATTCATTTGTGCCAGAAAAAGGAGGCCAACTCCTGATCAGATGCATTGGTTTGTCTTGTAACGCTGGCTGTGAAAGTAAGGATGAAGCAAGAACAAAACTCCTTTATAACATAGCTGGATCGTGGTGTCAGTATTCAACAGAGATACAAGGTACTCCCATACAGGCTGTACCAACTATGGAAACGCCTCAAGTAGTACCTCCCCAGTCTCCTTGGACAACCAGAAGCTTTCCAAATGGAAATTGGACAGGGAAATCAATCAATTTCACTATTATCTGTCGAAGCATACACTAACGTTCAAGTGATCCTCTCAGTGGCAGTTCCCATTGGAACTACAACCTTCAATGACACGCGGGGCTTGTGACGTATCCAATCGGCAAAAGCACGAAGCTGTGATGGGAATGTCAGCTACAGCTAGCGCCAGCTTTACTGCAGGCTCGACGGCCGCCGCTTCCTCCATTCTTCCCAACCGCGTCAAGCACTCATGATACCCTTGGAGCGACCAAACATTGTTCGGGTGGCGGCGGGGACGAATCAGCGAGTCATCGAGTCCAAGGTCAGCGCGGTACACTTTGGCCGCTTCCTCAAGATGGCCTTGTTCCAGGAGAAGGGCCGCGTAGGCATGTCGACTGGGTTGCATCCATGACCACGGTTCACTATAAGGAAGCCTGTCATCAAGTTCGATGGATCTGCGCAGATGGTCAAAGGCCTTGGCGTAGTTTTGACGGCGATACTCGATTTCCCCATCCAGCATGGCCGCGGCCACGGCCAACGTATGCGTACACTTGCTATTATAGGCACGGCGGGTCTCGGGGACAAGTGCACAAGTCCGCTGAAAAAGCTCCCGCTGCTCTAGGGCTCCATCTACATCTCCTGTAGCCGCATAGGCAACTCCCTTGGCGTAATATGTAGTTGCCGTCGTGACTCTGTACAGTTCAGGGTCATTCGGTAATTCTCTTTGTTTCAGCGCCTCCCACATTCCGAAGCGCACCATGACATGTAAGTGAATGGACATGAAGTTCTCTAACCAATCAGCCATGGGCGGGGACTCAATCCGTAGCACATCTTCAGGGACTGAAGCCTCCATCCGAGCAACCGCATCCAGAGCTGTATTGAGTTTTCCGGAAAGCATAGCCGCATAGATGAGGGAATGGTAGTCGTGAAGTCGATAGAACGTATAGAAGTTGTACGGACCGGTGCGGCGCACATACTTGTCATCAGCTAGAGTAGCCTTGTAATTGGACGCAATCGAACGCCGCCAATCCCCGATCAGAATATCGAGATGAGTTGGCATGTGGTGGATGTGGCCTGCATCGGGCATCAAGTCACGCAGCTGGTCGGCGACATTGATACCTAACTCAGGATTCGGCGACATTTCAATAAAGTGGATGTAGAGGTGCAGTAGCCCAGGGTGCGTGTCAGACCCTTTTTTAGTCAGAGCGCACTCTAGTACCTCCTTGACCTCCATTGTGGCTGCTTTGGGATTCGGTTCGCCAGTGAACAGATCCCAGAGTGCCCAAGGAGTCTGGTTCATCAACGAGTCCGCGTAGAGAACTGCGACATCCAGATCGTCACCAAAGGCTCGATAAACAGGCTCCATGGCCGTCGCGTACGCATGGTTCACCGCCAACTGCTCCGCAGTATTGGGTGGGGAGGCGCTCTGGAATCGGAATTGGATGGCTTCGATCAACCCTTGCTCGATTGGAGTCGCATTGTTTGCATGTTCCTTGGCCTTGCGTGACGCATCGTATGCCCGTTTCATGCAGGCCTTCAAGTCTGCCCTGTCAAAACGGTCCCACGGCTTGTTGTAGTTGGGACCCACTGCGTACGCCAGCCCCCAATAAGCTATGGCGCACGACGGATCGTGAGCGATGGCTTGCTCAAAGCAGTAGGCGCCCTCAACATGATTGAAGGCATAAACCCAACTGAGGCCCCGATTGAACCAGGTCTGAGTGTCTGGGCTGGAGGTGGTGATCTTCCGACCGAAAGAGCCGAGATCGTAGTATTCATCGCCAGCCGACACGGGTAGCATGATGTCTGACAGATGAGTCATGATTAGAGGGAGTTACACCAAGAGTAACCAAATCAGCAACTGAGGAGGTGGTGGTGTGAGCGAAGACCTTCTCGTGACAGACAGGCTGGATATGCATGTGGAGGTGGGGTCTTGAGCGACATATGACACTGAGACATCGGCCTTTGATTGTAAGCTTCTGTCCACTCATCTATTGATACTAGCAGAAAGCGATAGCATCGGATCTGTAGTACCGGTAGATAAACTACGCTGATCTGTGGTCTGATATTGATCACTGTCCAGAACCCACTTTCCCGGCCTTTGTGGCGATCTTTCCGGAGTTCATCGGATACTTGTCGGCCTAAGGCCATCAAACACGACCATAGCGGGGAGATGACTAATACGCCAGCAGTCACCCTCATGATCGAGAACTTGAATCAATTGATAAATTTGTCCTCTCGAGGCATAATCTTAGGCTTCAGATGGTTTCGAGGGGTGGATAAGGACAATTGCCGCCAAGAAAACGGCAGACTGTAGAGCAATAGTATGTCGACTACCCAGGATCAGCTCAGCCACATGTGAAATCTGCATGTCTCGCATGGTGTGTACTGTAGCCTATCCTATTCTCATCCGTGAATTTGGCCTAGGCCTTTGTTTATTGCTCCTCACTGCAGAATCTCTTTCCTCAGTTTAAAAAGAGTTAAATCCGAGGCCAACTGCTGACGTCCGATAGCCGCGCATCCAAGACTTGGTGTGATGGGTAGAGCCCTTGTGCGAATGTAAGGTTCAACCTGCCTCGTGCCCTCCGATCTTTCCTATCCCTTGCTGATTGAAGCCTTCCCAGTGTTTTAACAGTCGACGGGAATGTCATTACCGCCCCAGTCGGCGAGGGGGAGCCCGAAGAGGAATCAAAGCAGCTGAAAGTCTCGCGCGCAAACAAGCCTCCATCGTTGCCCCATACGTTAGTAGCATCGATAATGGAGCCTATCTGACTCCCCTTTCCTCTGAGACCACTGATATCAACAGTGAGCGAGATTTCTTCCTGAGCCTATCCTCAATTCTCTCAGCTTACCGTTCATCGTAGGTCCTGTTCTACACAACATCATTGGCATTAACTCATCTCTTGGTGGTTTACAAGACCCCAATGGGATCATCAATCATGGAGCCACCATGCGCACAGCTCCGTCTCCCGTTGAAACAACTACGGTGACACTGCGAGCATACCGCTGTGATCAGGACTTGCAAGTTCACAGGGATCTCTTCCAGGCCAACTTATGCCCATCTTACATGATGAGCGACTGACAATCCATCTTGGACATTGGCCTAGAGTCAACGCTTACTACATCTTCATCCATCCGTATTTCCCGTTGCTTCCGCCGCCCATTGTGTCTCAGCATGAAGATCGCCCTGTGTCCATTACCGTACCGAACATCGAACCCAGCCGCTCCTGCTTGCCTTCAACGTCGAGTAGTCCCGTGGGCCTAGCCATTGTAGCAATATTAATCTTGATCCCCATGCCTGAGGATGCTGATCCGATGAGGGAAACTGCCGTCAAGCTGAGACGCTCGTACTCTGAGCTGTACGCACAGTCAGCCTTGGCGGGCGTTGAGAGTTGTCTTGATGAGTACGAGCACATGCGCGCCGCTTTCTCTGCCGATATGGATTTGTCGCAAGCTCCGCAAAGTCCGTTGCATTCAGGCCTCCCTCTTCCTGTGGAGCCTGTTCTGGCGCTGGCGCTACTTGCTACCTATGAGTACGTCCAGCGAAGTAATATTGCGAAGATGCGTGCCCGAGCCAATCAAGCACTTACAACGGCCATGGATCTATCTCTACACACGGCTAGCACCGGTAGCTCGGAGTACTCGGACGCTCTTCGTCGTGCGTGGTGGATGGTGGTCAGTTTGCTTCCTCTCTGATGATGTCCTGCTGATCCTAACTGTTCGCTCTCAACAGATGTTTGTGGTTTATCAGTCATCTATTCTGACGGCTTCGGTAGGAGGCAAATCGGTCACAGGAGATTCAGCTAGCAGTCCTATGTTTTTGGGGCTAATTTGAATGTCTAGCCACCTATCATTACCGTTGACGATCCCCGGATCACCACACACTTTCCCGAATTTCGAGGCTGCCGTGAAGTTCGTATTCCTCCGACCTTCATCTCTTTCACGAAGCTTACTCTTCATTTGTCGTTCAGCCGTGGCCGTTGCTGGTAAAATCTCAGAAGGCATTCATCAACAGCTGCTGTATATCCCGAGAGCTGGCTCGGGAGAGCGTCGAAAGCCAGCACGCTTCGCTGCGGGATCAAATCCAGCAACTCTACACATTCATTTGTGAAGTGGCGGCGGAGGCAGATCGATTCCGATGCGTGACGAATTATTCCGGGGCTGAAGCAGACGCCTCTCGAAACCTATGGGCGATGTCCCGCGCTTTAATCCACACGTAAGTCTTCGTGTTCGCGACATACTCGCTTTCCCTGTCTAACATTCATGGCTGCCTTCTCCTTGAGATATAGTTCTCGCCTTAAGTTACATCGATTTTGCGCATTTTTGGACCATCCCATCTTCCTAGCAGATCATTGTGACCTCCCCTCGATTAACGCCGTGGGGTTCTCGGGTCCGCCCCCTCGTCTCTCTGCCAGCCGGATGGCCGAGATCGAATGCATCTTCCCCTTCACAGAGCAGGAATCTACCTCAAATCTGCCTCAAATCTGCTGTTGTGACTTCAAGAGCCTTCAGACATCTCTCGTCGCCGAACCCACGCTTGTCTGACATCGGTCTAGAGGCCGATGGGAAAGCGTCCGGCACAGCCAGGGCGTTGCGTCCATCAAGGTCGCCGCGCGAGTTGCCACATTTGGCGTGCTGTACCCTGCAGGGCTTCTACACAATTAGCATGCTTTTGTCCAAGGTCCGCAGGGCCCTGTGTTCTGGCGATCTATCAAGCTGCTATTACTTGCTGGATAGACCGACCCCGGCTACCGATGTACAGGATACAGAGCGATTGATCGAGGAGCTGCAACAGTCGCTCAATGCGCTGAGTGCATCAATCCGGGCAGATGCTGTTTTCGAGGGGTTGGCTGCTGCGGCTCGCGAGGTGGAAGATACTTTGAGTGCTACCATTGACTGACGTCGTCTGCAAAAATGTCCGTATCGCGCCGCAAATTGAATGCTTGTGGTACCAGTTAATACAGACAAAGGGACAAGATGAAAGTCCACATCCATGTACTTGGCTTTGAAAGAGCGAAGAAAAAAGCTGCGCAAGGGTTAGCTAACAGGATACACCAGTGAGCTCCATTTTAGATGTAACATGTGATTCTAGTATAACGAATTAGCCTATCTGGCTGCCTTATATATCATCATACATAAAATGTGACCACTATTTGAACGACCAAGGTTGACTCCGTCATATTGAGCAGACCTTGATTACTGGTGGTGTAAAGTATTTGTCCATTCCATTTTTACAACCATGGTTCTCAGAAATGGAATGCAGGCATCTCTACCTGCAGTCATAACCTACGGCAGAAGTGTTCTGACCCCAGAAAAATTGGCCCCGCCCCCGCCCCACTGCAAAAGCCGTAGTTTCGGCGACCAGGATTGGTCTTTCGGCCTTTGATCTCGGCTATGGGATAGCCCTAGTTCGTTGCTGAGTACAGAGGCCGAGATATCATTGACGCCATCATTTGTAGTACATTCGGCCGTGGGTATAGACTAGCCCTGGAGTTTGTCAGACTGTTCTAAATATTACTCGCCGCCACCGAAGGGAACCGGCGACTCCTAAAATTCTCGTCCACAAACACTATAAACAGCCTTTCAAACGCTCTGGAATTGCAGGTTTACGTGTTTAGTCCGCCCATTCTGATCGCTACTGATACCACCATGACACGCGTCCAACAAATCAAACAATATCTTCCCTGGGCGCAGACCCCGCTGATTATCAATGCCCCCATGAGCGGCGCGGCAACCAGCAAGCTAGCGGTTGCCGTCACTCGAGCTGGGGGACTGGGACAAATTGGCTTCCTGGACGACAAGAGGGTGCTGAGCACGGAGCTCGAAAAGACCAAACGGCAGTTAAGTGATATCACCGTTCCGAACGGGACGTTACCAATCGGAGTGGGAGTAATTGTGTTTGGGTCCCCTGTCTCGCACTGGCTTTCCCTATTTGCTGCCTACAAACCCGCCGTCGTTTGGCTATCCTTCGGGGCCTCGGGAGAGTTCCAAGAGTGGACAGCAGGGCTTCGTAGAGTCTCCCCAGATACAAAGATCTGGGTACAGGTTGGAAGCGTTGCCGCTGCGCTTGATACGGCCAGAGCCTGTCAACCCGATGCTCTGGTTCTGCAGGGAAACGATGCGGGCGGACACGGCCACGCAAGTGGAGCGAGTATCATATCGCTGCTCCCAGAGGTATGTGATGTGCTTCACGAGCATGGGTTGAGCCAGATCCCATTGATCGCGGCCGGAGGGATTGTCGATGGACGCGGTGTGGCGGCAGCTATCATGCTTGGGGCGGCGGGGGTGGTGATGGGCACACGATTTCTGGCTGCGGAGGAGACGAGCTTGCCTCGTGAGTACCGGGAGGCAATCATAGATGCCGTCGACGGGGGAGTGTCAACCGTGCGGTCAAGGGTCTTTGACGAGATCTGGGGCCCGAGTCCGTGGCCGGAGTTGTATGACGGACGGTGTCTGAGGAATGGATGTTATGATGATGTGGCCGCGGGAATTCCCATTCAAGAAGTCGTTAGGCGGTTCTACTTGCGTCTAAAGGAAGGACAGGACAAGGAGCTTGACTTCAAGGAGGCAGGGAGTGTCTGGGCTGGCACAGGCGTGGGATTGGTGAAGAAGATTGAGGACGCGGCTACTATTGTCTGCCGGGTACGATTGGAGGCAGCTAGGAGGCTGGAGAATAGTATCTCCCTCGGTACATTGTAGTAGAGAAGTATGAAGCCGGTTCGAGCTCTTCTCATATGCTAGGCTTTATCGAATATACCGCCATTGCACTACCTGCATGCTGTTTTCTGACGTCGAAGTCATGTTTTGGCAGCTTACTATCGGTATTCATTGCTACTCCGCACACAATGCCATGCGAAACCTTGATACGAGTTTCGTCGTAAAAGTGTATTTCAAACCCCGAAGATGTCAGGCATGGCAATCCATCCATCATTAGTACGTGGGACCTCAAAAGACACGATTCGACAGGGAGCACACAGATAACGAGTACAGTCACAAGCACACTTTGGGTCAGGAGGAACACGGAAAAAGAGGAGATAAGCACTTATCCCACTTGTCTCAGCTTTGTAATACCTAGGTCTAACCATGACACCCTAGAACCAGATCAATAGTGGAAGGATGAATGCTCAAGATCATGGTCATTACATTCACTGCGTCAATTTCAACCTTATCAAGGATTTGTGTTGTAGGATCCCGCATGAACTACTCAAGTAGCTGTCTGGGTAGAAGGTCACAAAAGCAAAGTTCCTGCGCTTTCTTATCCCGAGGGGTGCAGATAGTGAGGGGGTTCTTCGCTAATACATAGCTTCCCAACCGATTCTTCCACATCAGCCACTTTGCCGTCTTGAGAATGCGTAGGATCAAGACAATGCCATCTGTTGTTTTGATACTAGCCATCTGAAGTAACCTGTAAAGCTCCAGTGGATCAACTTTATACCTGCGGCTATTGAATGTACCCGCGATACTATGGCGCGAAAACTAAATACATAACTAATAATATTTACCAAGCTGGTTGATAATAGCACTCACCGGAGAATGGCATACGTCTTTCATTTCAAGTCTCAACTGGACGATGGGTATATCCATGTTGCCTCACTAGCGACATATATTAATTCCTTAACTAAAGCAGAAAAGTAGCAGTGCAAGAGATTAGCCCACTCAAAAAAGGCCTTCAGATGATGAACTTCTCCCTGGCTGAAGTCAAAAATCTTAATCTTTCCTCAGAATCGCGATACCAAGTGTTCTCAATCAGTATCCACTAATGAAAGAGCCATTGTGCCATCAGGGTAGACAAAGGGGAGAAATAAACTTTTTCAAAAGCGGCTAGGGATCAATATAGTCATTCTCTGTGGGGAGAAGTGCATTGAGAGGACAATACATTGAGCCCCTGGGGCAGTAGGAGTACCTTAGCATATCGGGAGACCATACCTTAAAACAGCAAAACTAACCACATGGGAAATTCACAGGTCCTTGCTTTGCAAAACAAAAACCCCACTAAATTATCCTTGCTCTTTTAAACCCCTCCAACTTCAACCCTCCTCCGGTGACATCCCAACTCCAATTCATCCAACTTTGGCTCAACGTAAGATTATCAAGATGATACAAGATAGCTATGGTGTCCTCTCCAATCAACAAACTCCCATCAGAAGTACTCTTCCTCATCTTGGACTATGTCAGACAACCATCATCCGCCTCCCTGTCCTCTCACTCATCCATTTTTTCGTGTCTCCTCTGCTGCAAAGCATGGTATACGGTCACTCGACCAATGATCTACCGAGATATTGTTCTTCGCATTCATAATTTAAAATGCTTTACCGACCAGTTTCTCCAGCCATCCTTCAGACACAACCATGTCTTACAATTAATCCAGTCGTTGACAATATCGCTGAACCCGAAAGACTACCGGACACCACCAGGTCCAATAGCTGAGCGGATTGAAAAAATCAAGAACCAGTGTTTTCTCCCATTGGAGAAGTTCCCCTCCATCCTGATCCGAATGACACATCTGACCACCCTATCAACCATCATCGCCGGTGGCGGCCGATACGATCTCCACAAAGACATGATAGGCTCGATATTAGCAGCCTTGCCAGAGTCCTGCATCAACCTAGAACTTGATCTGGATCCTGTCAATATTGAATCCAAAGGTCCCGGATCAGCTCATATATGCGAGATGATTTCTCCGCACCTGTCCCGGCTGCACCACCTCCGTCTGGAAATTGGAACGATCTGTCCGGCCCTTTTCGGTGATCACTTTGCCATAGACGGATCACTCCAGCGTGAGAATCCTCCTCCTCTCTCTCATTACTATTACCCCGCTCTTCAGACCTTCATCATCAACTGCAATTTCTGGGGCAGTGCCTTGACCTGCAATATCAATGGCGCCACCGCGGCGAGTGAAGCCTTACCACCGGCGCGGGTAGCATTGGTGCAATGCCTGAGGCACCTGTTTCTACGCGGCAGCTTTCCGCGGATCCAACGTCTTTGGCTTCTCGACGGTCAACTCAACGATAACAACGACGAGTCAGTCTACGCCGCCTGGAACCGCAGGGATATTGTCAATAACAAGACCTGGGCAATACCCTGGGTCGATGTAAAGGGACCAACGCCTATAAGCTTCTATTCTGTTATTCGAACCCCCGAGGGCCGCGAATTGGTCACTCCCTCACAATATACATCGGTCTTTGCCGAGGATCAAACGTGGAAAGAGAGTACGTTGGGATCCCGGTTTCCGGCTGCGGTTTTGGCGGATCGGGGAGATTTTATCGTTCGGGATCCACCGGCCCTCAGTGTTTCCGAGTACCGGTCCATGTATAAGGGAAGTTGTTTGGCGTGGAGACATGAGCAGATAACGGGCAGGAAACTCCTGTGGGCCACACAGAGAGAGGGTCTGGTCGACCGGTCACCGTTGCATGAGATTACGCCTCCAGGATGGAGAAGAGGGATTGGTTACGAGGGAGCGATATGTGGCTTCTATCCTGATAATGGAACTACTGGTTCATAAACTGGAATCGCGTATCTACGTATTCTACCGTCGCCCGTGGAAGATCCGATCCCATCTGGTCCCGCCGTGACTCCCCCGCCCGACCCTGAAGAAGAAGACCTGGACCAAGAGTGCGCTCTCGAATTCAGTCTTCCCCTGCCGACCTACAGAGGAACCATCGGCCAAACCACCACCAGTGTCCCCATCGCCACGCCACCCCCGGCACCGTCCCCATCGTCGCCTCCGGCTCCCGCCCCGCCTGGCCGGAACCCGGCGACGGAATCCTACCACTGCTACGACTCGGGCTCGTGGATCTCCCGGGCGGCCGCCATCCAAGCCATCGACAACTTCTGCAATACCTGGGATGGAACGGTGTTGGACGCGTCGCAACCCAACACTCTGCGCACGTTGACCAGCTACTCCTACGATGACTGCATAGGCGATCTCGATGCCTGCTTGTTACAGACCATTGTCTCTGTTACGGTCGTCAATGGTTGCGGGTTCACGATGGACGGACCGTCCCCGGACCAGGACTGTGGTCGAATCCTGCGCGAGCCGATCGATAAATGCAATACGGCCAGTACCCAGTTTAAGCAAGGTGGGACGGTGACGAGCAATTGTGCTGAGTGGCGGATTGATCCGGGGGTATATTGGTGACGTGGCGGAGACAGGGTAATCCATTTAGAAGCAAAAGAAAAAAGGTGAAGGCCTCTAAAATATAGCCTTCAGATTTTGGATCCAACCAGTGTAGAAGTGAGGATTCAAATAACCTCAATACTAAGCTAGAACCGGGCGGGGAGTTCGATGATGCGATCAGGAGCCGAACTCTATCACCTCCCGGTTCGATGTCAGGAAAATGATGAGTTGGCAGTATTCTAGCTTACGGAGGAAAACGTCACGAGGCTATTGTGGGTGTTGTGGTAAGAGGTGCGACGTTCCATGAACGCATCCACTTCGTCCAAGGCACATATGGTTCGGGGATCTGCCATCACTGAGGACCATGTCCTCCCGCTCTTGGAGTGTTTAGTCCTTAGTGAGCGAGAGGTTGGTTATGATGTGGCCATTAACTAGATCAAAAGCCTTGCTGTCATTGCACGCGCCCTTACTACAATAGACGCAACGCAGTTGAGCTATGAATACTTAGAACTGTGCACAGAATCACATAAGAAATTCTCCGGTGAGGTTGGTAGTTCCTCTGGAACTGAAAAAGCAAAGTAGAGATGTTAGTCTTTTCCAAGGTTTAACATATATAAGCATATCTACTCTTCTACTCCGGTGATCAACCATAGTGATAGCACGTAAGATCGCTTGATATCAGATTGACCATAATATATCTCTAGTCATTTTGTAAGTCCAACAATCGTCCAGCAACGAATCTGGAACAGCTCCAGATCATTTAGTCCGTCTAGCCAATGGAGATCCGGGCACCCTCCGTTTTACCTGTGAGGGAGCTCTGGAAACAGCTATCAACTCCAGGGACAAGCGCCAGACACCAGAACCAACATTATAGCAACTATAGCAGCCCTTAAATACCACCCTGGCGATACTAGGTCAGGGATCATTAAGAGTGTTGTGGCTGTTATTGTTATCTGGATTGGCGCACAGATGTGGTATCGGGGACCGATTTGGGTGGATGCGGCCCAGATCGATCTTGACGCCTGTCGCAGGTTCTACGCAGACCATGAAGATGAAGAAGCAAACTCGCCTGCCATGCAGAGAAGTATAAAGCGAGTTGTTGGCAAGCTCTTCGAGTAATTCGTCGCGCTATGTTACACTCTCTTTAGGGCGCTTCTTCGGCGTGCTGAAGAGCTAGCTGGTGATGCTCTCTATGTACGGGCCTTGAGTTCGAACTTTCATGTCTTTGCATTAATTATAATGGCAAACATATATGTGCATAGGCTGAAGGTTTATCATAGTGCAATAGCAATCAAATCCCTCTCTGCTTTAATCTACCTCTTCAGTTGGACGATCGGTCAGGGACATTTGCATTCACACTGATGAAGACACCTTGGCCGATGACCAACCCCGAATGCGATCACCCCAGTACCAAAAGCAAACTGGCACCGGCACCAGCGCAACTCTGACTCCTCCCAGAATGGACGTGGCAGGTGCAACCCCTAATGAGTGGAACATCCGGGCTGCGAAGAGCGGGAAAACAGCGCCAAATATGCTGCGCATGGATCCGTTAACACCCATGGCACTATTTGCCATATTTGTATAACGGTCGACAATGTAATTGAACCCTTGGATAAATAGCAAATACATTCCGCAGCCCGTCAGAAAGCTGGCGCAGATTGCGCTGGCCCAGGGGATGTTGGGTCCGGCGGTCCATGCGTACCAGAATATTCCAACGGGGATCATGATACCACCTAAGATCATAGGAGGCAAGCGACTCTCGAGAATATAGGTCCCGTGGAGGAATGACAGTGATATCTAAAGTAGACTTGGTTGTAGATGACGACCCCGACGGTGCCGGTAAAGGTGCCAATGATGATGGCGAGAAGGGGGAGGGTGTTCAAACCGGCTCTCCAGCCCCGGATCTCGCCAAATGCAATCGGGTAGGACTGGTAGAAAAGAAAGAGGACCCATAGATGAAAGACTGGTACAGTGTCAAGAAAGTCAGAATTGGCTGCGTGCTCAGAAGCCCTAAGGTAGAAGAGCTATTAGCCACGGCTGGAGCATGGAGACAGTCATACATACAAAAAGGACGGACGAGGTAGACGCGGGAGATCTCTGTCAAAGTCAAACGCTCCTTCTCCGATGCAGTTTTGATGCCAGGGTTCCCATATTTCTTGCGCAAACGTTGTGCTTTCTTCCGGAGAAGAGCTGGCGGGTAGGTCTCCGGGAACGCGACAACCGATATAGCGGACAAGGCCAGACCGGCAATCGTGACCACCCACATTGTCCACCTCCAGTTCAACGACGAGCCAATAATGAAGTCTCCAAAGACTGGTCCAAATGTCGGCCCCGAGAAAACAAGAGAGACCGCCAGGGCCATGGCGATCCCGCGGTGAGCCATCGGCCAGCAATCGCTGATGACACCTCCCAGTACAGCAACCGGAGCGACGCCGCAGAGGCCGGAGAAAAATCTTCCCACAAGAACCACTGCCATGTGGGAGCCGAGGGCAGGCATGAGGTTGAAAAGCGAGGAGAGGGTGATTCCTAGCAGCAGTGGCCATTTACGGCCAAACTTTTCGGATAACGGACCAAACGTCAGGAAGCCGAAGATGTATCCCTATTTCAAAGTTAATATGCTAGAAGTCAATAAGGAAGGAAAATCAATCATTGGCTAGACATAACATACCACGAGGAACAGTCGTCCCAAGAACGGTCACTTCCTGGCTGACACCAAACTCTGCCATGATCTCTTTCTGGCCTGGTCCGAAGATGCTGCTAGTCACTGTTCCAATCAGGTTGAATAGGGCGAGGACAGACGTCACCCAGATCTTCTTGAGGATAGACAAATTGTGAGGAAAGTTGGGATCATCTGGTCCGTCAAAATCGACTAAAGGCGGTTGATCGTCCATGTCTTGTTCATTTACGACTGCTGCTGAAGGGCCCATGATGAGAATGTTACTGACAGCCACAACCTCGCTCTTATGGAAAAAGATTCTACGGTCTTATATAATTTATTTGTTTACACGACTCCAGTATCTGAACAATTGAAGTGGATCCAGTTCATTCCACCTTTGAGAGGAGCAACCGAGTGGATAGCCAGAGTTTTGTTTGACAAGCGCGACTCCACAAGGTCCATACACCAGGCAGGGTTGCTGTATGTCTCATTGGCTATATAGAAAAGGGTCAGTCTGCCTTCGATATTACTGACAGCCAGAGCTGCACCACCGCGCTCGCTCTATATTATACAACCAAGTCTGTCCCAATGCACATAATCCCTGCTCCTACGCGCTATGATGGCAGGATGTAATCTCTCGAAGGGAAAAGAATCCGTGATTCCGAGTAGGAAATCAAGTCTTTTCCTTTAGTTGTTTCTCACGTCGGCAATCTTGCTAAGACACCGAAGTTGAAGCTATCCGAAGTCCCATACGGATCAGACCCCGTCGACGAATCGGACAGCTCAATCATTCGCCGTGATCCACTCGTGACACATATTATCATGACAATTATTACGATCATTGGTCAAAATTGGCATTTGTACAGAGCATAGCTAATACGAGTGAATTGGCGTCAAACGCATAGTTCTGTCCGAGCGACAAAGTTCGGACCCTGGTCATTATCATGCTGATTGTCCGATGTCGGAAAGAATTTGTCAAGGAAATTTATCCCCTCATCAAGATGGAGAAAGTGAATATAAAAGGAGGGTGACAAGCAGACCTGAAGAGTGTGATGTTCAGATTTCTTCAAATCAGATTATATTTAATACTTTCTACCTATTTCGATTAACTTCAACATGGGCTCTCTGGCAACCTCCGGTGCGAGAGCCGTCCAGATTTTCTCCAAGCGAGGTCAAACTGCATTGGCTCATGGCTCCAAGAGATGTGGGATATCACAGCAACCTTTGGGATGCAGAGACGAATCCGGATGGGTATGTCTCTGTCTGAGTCGCCGAGAATGCTCTCCTCCACGACACTCTGCTGGAGTACATCCACAGCAATATTCGTCTCACAGCAAACTACCTGACGTACAACGACGGGAGCATGGGCTCGATCAAGCTCCGCAAAGCTGTTTCGCACTTTCTCAACCGTCATCTTCGGCCCGTTCACCCCGTTGAACCCCAGCATATCGCCATGAGTCATGACTAACGGGTGTTCATTGGCCATTGAGCAGCTCAGCTGGGCGTTCATGGAGCCCGGTGAAGGTATCCTGCTCGGTAAACCGTACTACGGCACATTCATCGCTGATATATCGCTGCGACCCGGCGCGGTCGTAATTCTGTCGACTTTGGCGAGGTCTATCTGCTAAGCCCAGAGGCTATCAGCCAGTACGAGAAGGCTGCGACAGACTTTGAGGCCAATACAGGGAAGCGCGTACGGGCCGTCATGCTCTGCCACCCGCATAACCCTATTGGGCGCTGCTATCCCAGGTCTGTCATCCAAGCCTTAATGAAGATGTGCCAGGCACGTCAAATGCACCTCATCAGTGATGAGATCTATGCACTTTCTGCGTGGAACAACCAGATCGACACGGGCTTGGCGCTCGTCCGGTTTGAGTCGATCCTGTCGATTGAGCCAGCAGGCTTGATCGATGCAGACCTTGTACATGTTCTTTGGGGTATGAGCAAGGATTTCGGCGCCAATGGTCTGCGTGTCGGTGCCATCATCTCTCAGTTCAGTCCTGAGCTGCACTCCGCACTTAAGGCAATGTCATTGTACTCTTATGTATCTGGTCTATCCGATCAGATCACCTCTTCCCTGCTGCTTGATGATGCCTTCACGGATCTGTATATCACCCTCAACCGCGAGAGACTGTCGTACGCTCATGCTTTCTTCGTCCGAATGCTCGAGAAGAATGGCATCGAGTACACGAAAGGCTGCAACGCGGGGTTCTTCGTGTGGCTCAATCTTGGCAAGAAGTACCTTGAAGCCAATCCAGACGAGAAGCTTACAAGCGGCACCGAGTTGACGGACATGATCATGCAAAGGTTGCTGGACAACAAGGTCTTCCTGGCCAGTGGGACGGGATTCGGTTCGGAGAAGCCGGGCTGGTTCCGCGTAGTGTTTGCCCATCCCTTGACGTACATGGAAGAGGCAATGAGACGGATTCTGGTGGCAGTGGGGAAGGACAAGTAGCGTTTCAGCTGTGAACACATAATCTGTATTCCAGTCTTTATGATTCATATTCCATTCCAGTGGTTGCGTTGGTTGCGTCTCTTCGCAAGTCGTGTTCCGCTTGGCCCAGTAGGTAGCAAGCCGCCAGTTGGGAATATCAGCAGTTAACTGTTTCAGCTGCGCAAACGGGAGGAGGGTATGTCGATGTTCCTAGTTACAACTTGTAGGCAAATAAGGGAGACACAGATTAACTGTGACCTATAAGTGCTACAATTAAGCTTGTACCTTGGTAGCAATCTGGATCATACTATAGGGTAACTGCATTTGCCACTTTACCACAGTATTTCTGCTTTATCACATTCGCCCTCTCTTGGTGCAAACACCGAGACATATCTACACCGGCAATTTCGGCGTTTGAAGAACGAGGTTTGCAGATTCTGGCGACGAAAGCATGTCTAATACCTGAATATGTGCAGCTCATAGATTGAACTGCTTATGCATGTAATTCCTTACTAAGGTGCATCAAGTATGCTATATTTTGTTTTAAAAGCCGGCCACATACCGTCTTGCGCTCATGAGAGGAGTTACCAGCATCTTGTCAGGTATCACCGCGACGGAATGTGAAGGTTCAGTCTACATCGCTGGTAAACGCACACCCGAGGGAGCCATTGGCGTCTATGAGCTTGGCGGGAAGACCTTCAGACTTCCTGGTCAATATGTGAGGGAACTCCAACGGTTTTTACCCAGAACAGCATCCGCCCGAATCGGCTGAATGTGTGCTACTCTGGATTCAACTTTTATTGAGCCCTGGGGGTGGTTGAGTGCGGGTGGCAGTTGCAAGACCAACATATGTAGAGGGGGAGGCTGATATTAAGGCTAATAGGTAGTATACTAAACATAATCTGGGGTTGTTGGGGAATGGCTTTTAAAGGTGGGAAGCCGCTATGTTGACTGAGAGCCTTGTAGCCAAGAACATCAAAGCTGATCTAGATGTGCACTTCTGGGGGATTGGAATACAAGCAGGCAGTGATTGGGCTCACCTCAGCCATCCCCAGAATCCCAGAAAACTTATTATGGCTGGTCGCTTCAGCGAGAGTTCATGTGGGCTACTGGATAGAGCAGAGTTCGAACTTGGGCTATCGGGTCCCTTGGGAGGACACGTTCAAGATGCGGTAGAATGCAGCTTGTATTTCACCCGAACCTAAGGATGAAATAGATCACCCGCGTAGACCACMATGCTATGTGAGTGGAACAGGTCGCGGCCAGTCCTTGATGGTACTACCATCCAGATGTTCCTACTTCTGGACGTTATACGGCTCAATAGGTTCCTGTTACTAGTCCAAGACTGAATATAGTTGGTATATATCTTGGTCTATTTGGCTAAACGAGAGTCTTAATATACAGCAAAATGATGAAAAAAGGACTAGCGCCGCAGTAGAATGTGCTTCATCAAGACAACAAATCTGGACAATCGGTTGCGTTAACCGTTATTGGACCTCATGCTTACAGGGCAGCCAAGGCGAGGCAGACGGCAACGACAGCGCCGAAGATGGAGCCCGAGAGACCGCTGGCAGAGTTGCTGAGGATGGTAGAAGACGAAGGAGAGGAGGAGCTGCCGGTGGAGGAAGAAGACTGGCCGGAGGCACCGGAGCCGGAAGAGCCGGAAGAGCCAGAGGAAGAGGAGCCAGAAGAGGAGCCGGAGATGGCGCTACTAGAGGGACGGGCCGACGAGGAGGAGTTCCAAGAGCCAGCATAGGAGCCGTTGTAGGAGCCACCAGGTCCCTTGCCAACGCTGAAGGTGGGCTTAGCAGAGCCAGCGCTGCCAGCGGCAGCCGCGCCAGAGGAAGCGGCAGCGGAGCCGGTGCTCACAGCGGTAGTGAAGCCAGAGGCATTGCCGCCAGCAACGGAGGAGGCCGAGGGGCCCGCAGTGGAGGAAGCGGCAGCGGAAGAAGAAGAAGAAGCGGAGCAGGACAGGTCAAAGAGAGGAGTGGTGCTCAGAGTGCTGCCGACGATACCGAAGCTGGGGTTGGGGGTAACCGGGCTAGCATCCTGGAGGATGTACCACCAGGTGTTGGTCTTGCCGAACAGGGGGCATCCCACCTCGTCCCAGTAAGTCTTGGCGTTGGCCAGGTTAGCGACGGCGAGGTTCTCGGTTTTGCCGCTGACGGGCCAGCCAGTCTCCGTAATCCAGACCTCCTTGCCCTTGGCGACCGCCTCGGTCTTGGCCACAGCATCGTGGAAAAGAGCCTTGGCATCGGAGATGGAGTTGGCCATGGTGTTCTGGAAGTACGGGTAGCCATCGAAACCCAGCCAGTCGCAGGCATCGATGACAGCCGAGTTGGAGCCGTTGACCCAGGCGGTCCAGGTATCGACGTGGCCGATGGAGACACCGCTCAGTTTGGTGCCCGCAATGGTGGAACGGACCTGGTTGATGTACGAGACGAGCTCATCAGGGTTGACGCCGAGGCCAGCGTTGGCCTTGACACCGTCGACCGAGTTACGGTACAGATCCTCACTTCCGACCGAGATACCGACAACCAGCTTGGCCAAATCATCTTCGTAATCGGCAATGGCGGACTTGAGGGCGGCGATTTCGTTGGCGAAGTTTCCACCGGAAGCCCACAGACCGAGCAGAAGGGAGGTGTCCTCGGCGGCGGCGGCAGGGATAGCCGAAATGGGGGTGTTGGTAGTGCCTCCTTGCTGGTTGGACGGTCAGTCTCTCAAAGGTCATGACCATAGAAATTGCATGGGCAACTTACAATCATGGTGTACAAGCGGGCACTGGTGAAGCCGGAAGTACCCACCAGGTTCTTGGCCGTCGAGAATTCGGACTGGAAGTCAGATTGGGACTTGGCGCTGCCATCCGACTTGGTACTGCCATAGTTGAAACCTTGGTGAGCGGCCTCGGAGGTAGCGAGCGCCAGAGCAAGGGCAACGAGCTGTGTGAAGTGCATCTTGAAGGTTCTGAAAAAGAAAGGGTGTAGAAACGAAGGTACGGACGTTGATTAAAGAACGTAGATATGTCAAAATCAAAGAATGAAGAATGGACTCAGAGGGACCGAAGGAATGGAATGAACATTGGATGTCAAAGACAAAGACCCAAGTTCGAGCAGCAGATGAGAAGAAGAAGGAAGAGAGACGATAGAGCGAGATGGACAGTCAAGGAAGAAGAAGAGTCCATAAATAAAGAAGCAGGTCTAGACTCTGGGCCGGGATGACCTGTCCACACGGGGCCCAAGTGGGCCGGGGCCACGTTGGCTCCCATAAGCCAGGGCTTGTCCCGGAACTAGAACACTACTATTATCGCTAAAGATAGCATTGCCGGATATGAAATGCATGCATTTCATTGCTCCGAATACAATATTGTGTGTGCCTGGTGGATAGGCATAAAAAATTCAGAGAGGAACCATGGAAAGGCACAACGTCCTGAGAGGAGTGCCCTAATTCCCTCAGTGAAATAGTGGACGAGAGGAGGCAGTGGCTGAGGGGACTACCAATAAGCAAAGATGTGGCAAAGGGGAGATATTATGAATGGTCTACTCCGTAGTGGGGTGGGTATTGTACCCACAAGCGGGGCATCGAACATTGGCCTACAAATGAAATCGGGCCGGGTTGTCTTGCAATCTTCCTGTCCTACCCTGTCCTACCTAAGACACTCCTCAGCCAAGTCAATAGTCCCTTCAAGTCGCTGTCAAGGCGAAATGACGACACTTAAAAATAGCAAAAAGCAGTCCGAAGTAGGACGATATGTCATCGTGGATTTGGCACCGGATCTAGAATTAGAATTGGATGCCCCTGATTATCCTCGACGGGTACCTGAATAACTGTGCGGCACTGGCTAGGCTTATTACTCTGGAGTATGCAGTCAGCTGCAAGCAGTTTCTCCTGATTTACTCCGTACTTTATTCTCAAGGCATCAAGTAATGCTCTGGTCCCCTTTTCTGGTACCGAATCTCCTATATTTCAACCATCTCGATAGTTACATTCCTTGTTGGGCTTTCATATTTTGCTCTGCGGAACGACTGGGTTGAGCTTATGTTTGATGTGGAAGTATCCTGATGCAGCCCGTATGCTACGACATTCTCTCTGGTCTAATCATTGAGAGACATATGTCCGTGGTCTACCGTATGAGTCTATGCTCCCCCTAGCTTGAGAATATTGCCCTTTCAGGCAGGAATATATTTTCCCGCAAATGTAGATTGAGAATGCGACAGCCAACGAGACGACAATCTCCGAAGGATACCTCAACATTTGAATTTAATCTTACGAATTCGACTGCGACATTGTTTTCAACCCTCTCTGTATGAGAGTCTTACGAAGATTAGCAATAATGCTCCTGTGCMTCAACTCCCCTTGGATGCAATCACGTGACATATATGACTCGATCGGGTACGTAATCACATGTCTGGACGCTATCATCTGAACATGGGCGTAGGTCTGGTTTACAGGAGAGGTTCAGGGGCAGATAGATGGCCAGAGCGCTGGCGTCTCCAGTGAATTCAACTACGTTCTCAACGTGAGTGTTGCGAAACTTCATCGATCATGTGGCCAGTTCGCGGCTTCCTCAGTGGAAATAAGGCAAGTAGACCTATTGGACGGCGATTACTGGCCTGTTTCCTACACGCAGGGGATATCCAGACCAGTCGACAGTCCAAGAACAAAAGAAGCAAGCATTGCATTTCGCCTGTTCAAGTTGGCTTGTTTCTAAGCTAAGCCAATTTTCATACTCGACGGAACCTGTCCAGTCATCTATTTGATATTATATTGACTATCCTCAAACTTTCCTCACCGTCCAAAGGATAGACACAAGAGCAATAAGCTGAGATAATATCATGAGTACGACGTAATGGTAATCCGCCAATAATCACTTAAACAAATACCCCGTAAGTGCCTCAATCGTCCTCTTGCCCACATCGTGGTGCCGATTCTCCTCCCAAATCTTGCCACCCTCTCCGAATTGATTGGACAAATGGCCCAAGAAAAAGTCCAAATTCTGTTGGCACCGGGGAAAAGCATTCTTA